CCTAAACAAGGAGACCTAGATTTATCGGACTACAATTCCAAGAAGCTCTGACTATCTGCAATGCTGGCTAGGTTTCTGGAAAGTGTAGTTTAAGCATATTTGGAGCACAAGATGGAGGGCCACTGCTCCAAGCCTTTTCTTCTCTGTTTATGATCATGGTCTTCTGAAAGTGCGTCCCTAAACAAGGGGACCTAGATTTATCGGACTACAATCCCAAGAAGCTCTGACTATCTGCAATGCTAGCTAGTTTTCTGGAAACTGTAGTTTAAGCACATTTGGAGCACAAGATGGAGAGCCACTGCTCCAAGCCTTTTCTTCTGTTTATGATCATGGTCTTCTGAAAGTGGAACAGGGATGTGAATTCCAAACAGGCCCCTGCCCTCCCTTGGTTACAGTAATGTCAAAATGGTCAGCTGAACATTGTTACAGATTTCCTTGCAGCACTCAATGGCTTGAACTGAACATATTTACATTTCTGCTTCAGACCTTTCCTGTAAACACAAGTAAGTTGTAGGGGGAGGAGGGAGGCTCACTATAAACACCCTGATTACTCTCCACACTTAACTATTGAGGAAAGCAGAAGAGACCTTATGATTTTATGAATTCATCAAGTCTCATCCCCATTACAATTGTCATGTGAGTAGGAAAAGAGCTCTCAGTAGATTTCTACCTGCCAAAGGCCAGTGATACCATTAGATAAAGCCTTCCAAAGCAAGTAGTCCAGGGCTCCCCACTGCAGAATGAAAAGCAGGGACCCATATGCAGCAGGACTAGCAGAAAACATTTTGAAGTGATGTTCATACATATTTGGTATCTGAAGAAGGTCCTCCTTACGACCATTAATTTCAGTTTGAAATAACCTAACTGTACCACTACCTAAGGTATTAGCTAGCCCATCCCTTGACCATATATTAAGAGCCAGCTGTAGTTTTCCAATTTTGTTTTTCCATTAGGCTGCCTTAGACTTTAGATTAGTTCTCACCTTATCACCACAATACACATTTTTAACATTAAATGTTCATGGAATAAAATATATGATCTTTAGAAAGCAAATGGAGAAAAGAAACACGGCTGGGGGGATCCTTTTACCTTTTTCCAGAGAAATAGAACATTCTAAACCCATTGAAAAGTCCAATAAATTATTTGTAGGATGAGCTGTTAAATGTTCATGGAGGAAGATATAGGAAAAGCCTTGCTGTAACGTTCTTCACTCTTGGATGTAGAAAACCTCAGTTGCTTTCAGAACTTTTTAAATTAAAAAGGAGGTTTAGCTCAGATTTTAAAATCTCCAAATACACCATTTCCATGTTTTCTTTTAATAAGATTAACATTATTTATATACAGTCACATTTTAAAAGCTAGACTTGGTCTAGTCCCACATTTCATCCCCGATGCTGAGAACCAGACGCCTCTAAGAAGCCACGAACGTGATAAGATTATCCATCCTGTTTCGTCCCACAGAACAAGGGGACTCCTCTTTACCTGTCTAGCCACACAACCGTCTTCCATAATATGTCTAATCCATTTTTAAAGCTGTTGAAACTAGCAGCAGCATGATACCTTGTGGAAGTTAATTCCCTGCTAATTTACATAGTGGGTAAACATATGCTGTCTTTGGTCTGTTCCGAATCAGTTCCAGTCTAATTCTGTATCCATATACTTTCTGTTCTCGATTGATCTTCCTCCCCACGCACCTCCACCTTAACCATTGTTCACCCCAGATGAGGTGAGAAATGCATCACTATGCCCTCCCCCACTTCTGCTCCCACTACGCCATCACCATGGCTAGCTTGCAGCATGTGGCCAGATTGTCACACATTACATCGGAAGCTGCCAGCAGAACAGAAGGCAGTCCCCCATACCAACATTCATTCCTACCTCTTCTATTGCTCCCCATCTTGCACTCTACATTCTTTAGAGCAGTACAGCCCATGTTTTTCTCCACATGCCATTCGCTTGTTTTGTTGACCTTCACGTCCTATCTGCAACAACAGAGCCTCTACTGCCTCTGTGCATTTGCTTATCCCAATATCATACTGGTGCCAGGGATGAAAATGTTGGGACTTTTTATTAACAAGGGCAACAACATCATTTGTCATACACACAAACCGTCCCTAGGTTCTTGTATCCTCACTCTATCTGTATAAAATCTCTTCACACACAGACCCACACGCACTTACTTAAGAGAGGGATCAATACAGCAGCTTCCATTTTTGGACCCTCCTTGGAGTCAAGTCTATGGGGACTCACAGTGAAAGCCCATACTTCATCATGTATTACTACAACAACACCACTCCCTAGATCTTGCATCTCAAGTGCTACCTCATGGCCGGGGTGGGTGGGGCGTTTCCACCTTCAGTCTCTTCCTCAGCAGTCTTTTGTTCTGAACTAGGACTTCTTATTCCATTCCTACTCTCCACAATGAAAATCTTGTTCAGACACTGGTAGCACTGCCTCTGCTCTCTCAGGGTGCTATGTTACTCTGCTAAGAAGGCAACAACAGTCCAAAAGAGCTCCAGTCCTACAGAAGGGATCCACCACCTCTTGAGACAAATGTCTTGCACTTGCAACTAGACTGACTGATTAAGAAGACATTTGGTTGTCTACAGTAGCCTCTGCACCCACTAACGTTGCAGAGGTGGAAGAGGACCGACTGTGAAGCATTGACTAACAACAGTCTAGAAAGAGCAAACAAAGAGGTCTGGAGATGCAGATGGAAAGGGGAGAGAGATTGCTACTCACACCTGACAATGAGAGAGAAAGCAGATCTAACTCATCAAGGTTCTCAGGCTGGAGGGCCAAAGTTTGCCTTCTTGACACAGCTGGGGCCAGCTCTTGACAGAGCCAGATACAGCTGCCACCTGAAGGAAGATCCAGCCTCCACATCAGGCCAATACATTGAACTAGCATCTTACCCAGCAGCAAAACACAGGCAGATATCTTCCAGTCCAGAGATCAAGAGCGATTCTGCAAAAAAGAGGGTGGCTGACCTCCTGTGAGGATGAGCAGAGAGAATGTGAGACTCCAGTCAAGCACAGGACTTCTCCCTCCTGCATTTGGTTGGGGGCAAAGGGAGGACATCAACAACAGTCTAAGTATAAAGGGCCTCCTATGCAGTTAATGATTACAGGGCATCTCCCTAGTTGCTCACAAACGTTGGAGGAGGAGGAGGCACCCAGGGCACTTGGCAGCTCCGGTGTGCCAGCCCCCTCCTCCGACAACAAGCCCAGGGAGGCGCAGAAGGAGTGCACGGCGTTATTGCTCTGCTTCCTCAAGTGTCAACCAGAACAAGATCAGATGCTCAGCAGTTTCGGCAGAAGACAGGATTCCGAATGGGCTTCTCACTTGATGAGAGCTTGATTACAGTGTCCGCACACGAAGACGGTCTCCCGCTGGGCGTCAGGGGCTGCAGCAAAAAGCACCAGTCAGACTCAGGCCCCACCAAGGAACAGGCAACCTCCCACCCACAAAGCCTGACAAGCCCCTTTCACTTTAAATGCCCAGCCTGTGATATAAAACCACCATTTCCTACTATCCCCCTCACAACTGTCAGGATTATAGCAGCTTCTCATTGGAAGAAAGGAAATCTCTCTCACACACATGTATGCCCAGGATCCAGGGCACCACATTACCATTGTTCATCCTCCGTTATTTTCCTCTCTCTTACTCACTCACCTGTAGCCCCCATGCAGCTCTTGGGAACTTTGAAGGAGCAGCATCTGGAGCAAAAAATGTTCCCGCAGTTACTGCAGCTCCGCTGACAGGAGGAAAAGAGAGACATTGTTATAGAATTAAAGTTCAAGGAAGACATCCCATCAAAGGTCATTCCTATTCCTGGAAGACCGCTTTCCTGCTACGCAGGCCTCCCACCTTATTCCCCTAAGGGTACAGCTACATATGAAAGATAAGAATAGTGATTAGCATTTCCTGCAGTATTTCAAATTCATCTGAAGCTGGGAGGGGGGGAGAATGAGCTGGTACTGTGGTAGCAGGCTCTCTAAGAGGTGATTTGCTTTACAAGAGGAAGAATACAGATATTCAAATGATACAGATATGCAAACAATACCCTGTGCAACAACTCCCATCCTGCATTACCCACTGAGATTTGGATGCCCCACAGTTGCTGATCATTTATTATTACTACATGTGGGAGATCCCAATAACAGACCTTCCAGGTCATATTTCAGTTTGACCCAAGGAGATGTCATCAAAAGGAGCAGAACAAGAGATGAGAAACTGTGGGAGAGCTGCCTCCCTGCCTAGAATGAGCCTGAGAGCCAAGAGGAGAAGGATCACCAGATAGTACCATAAACAAGCAACCTTCCAATACCCACTGCTTTTACACGTCAGCTCTCTACTCTAGTACCACAGGGGTTTATGGAAGGACTGAGAGCTGTCACTGGGCTGCAGAGAGCCCCAAGACAAGGGAGCAGAAGAAGAGCCAGATATGGCAGCCAGAGGTTTCCTGGAGCAGAGAGACTCACCCTCTTCTTCAGCACAGAGAAGGTAGTTGAACAGCTTGCACAGCTCCCTGTGAAACATCAGAAAAGCCATTTATCACCATAGAGGTCTCCCTTCCTTCTTCCAGCAAGCTGTTGCCCTTCCCTGCACACCATCCCCCTGTCCTCTGATCAGGGTCTATCTGTCAACAGCCCCATTTGCACCATCATCCTACAGGATAGTCCTAGAGACCCACCCACGTGCCAGGATATGCCAAGCAAGGCGCTCTGTCTTAAGATACAAGGAGGTTTGCACAGGGCACCATGCAGCTTTGCAATGACATGCTATAGCTCTCAGTAGGCAGTAGTCTTTTGCTCTGCAACCCTATCCTAGAAGCACAGAGGTGTGCCCATTTCATATAAACATGAAATTTGGCATCAGATAGGAAATTCCACTTCCTAAGAAAGCCAGCCTGAACTGGCACCGTATGAAGGGATCAAGTGTTAGAGGGGGACCAGGGAGAGACATAATACAAATCTCCACTCAGCCTCACTGGGTGGCCATGGGCAAGAGAGTCACTCTCAGGGAATAGTTACATAGCACCTTGGCAGGTGTGCATTCACAAACCTGTGCTTGCCAAAGTAAAGCAAACATGGAGGTAGAGGAGAGAGAAACAGTGAGTAGGATGTTTCACTCTTACCAGCTTTCCTTGCAATACTGAAATATTGCAGAATGAGAGGCTTGTTTTTTCCCTTGGCACTAAGATTTTTATACCACCAAAGCAGACACAGACTTGGGCAGAATGGCGTATTTCCAAGAAAAGACACATCCTCTGAAACAGCTATTGTACCAAACCATTTTATTCTATCAAGCTCCCACATCATAGGCTGACAACATGAAGTCCCTTACTCTTCAAAAAAGTTTTTTAAAAATTTTAAATATACATGTTCATTCAGAAAGTCCCTCTGTACACCTGGGGAGGGGCTCAATTCTGCCATGTTTTGAAGTGGACCAGCACCCCAGGGCCTCCCATATCCCTGAAACCATTTAAAATGAAAAATATTGGCTACTAGAGGATGGGTGGGAGCTTTTAAAAAAACATGCACGTTTTTTGTTAGAAAAATGTAGGATTGTGTGAGTGGGCACAAAATTGAAAGGTCCAAGGATATGCACACGCAGCCCCAGATCTCACACCTCCTCTACACTATCCTACATAAATCCCAACAATTTCCTCACTCACCCACCCGCAGCACTATCCCCTCTGCCCTTCCCACTCTCCTACCTCCCATTGCAGCACCGAGGTTGTTGCTCGGATAGCGCTTGCGCAGACGTTCTTTCAGCTGTGACACCCTTCTGCGAATTGCCTCATTTTTACTCATTAAGGGGTTTTCTGGAAGGCCCAGCTCAAACTCTCCAGAGCACTGAGAGATATCATCATCTTCCTGAGCAGGAGGGGAGTGGTGAAAATAACAAATTAAGAAGAAAGCAGTGTATGAATTGTCAATTCAATGGTCACGGGAAGAAGGATAAGGGCATAATGGAAGGCACCATCCAGAGACATGGCTCTGAGGACAGAAAGGAAAGTTGGAAGGAGACAAAGTTCTGAGATAGCAGAAGGGGCTCCGGCTTGCAGGGACAGGGAAGAAAATGAGACTTGGTTCAGGCAAACTTCACAGAGGGGACTAATCCATACACAGCAGTTTCACATAAGCAAATGGAACAAACACAGGCTTAGGACCAGATGAGCCAGCACTCACACTCACCATTACTACTAGCAGTTGGGTCTCCTACTCCCGCAGCAAGGGGAAAAGGCAAGAGATAAGGCCAGCAGACAGAAGACAGTAGACCCAGATCAAGGCATTCTTCACTTTTTAGGTTGTATCCTCAGCAGATGGTCAAGCACTACCTACTTCTCTGCCACCACCCCCCCATACCCAGTGTTTCCCGAATCACAGGGGCAGATCCTGTCTTGCTGCTACACACTACCCTTGATGACAGGATGGAGGATACACCTATAACCTGCTGACCTAGCCCTGTATCACCTTATTCCAGCATAGGACAGACCAAACCAGGATCTCTGGAAACAGACCTCAATAGCATCCTTGAATTCATCATCAGGCTCTGCCTCTTCCGCTTCCTCTATGCTGCCGGGGGTCAGATCCTACATGGAAAGTAAAATATTACAGGACTCCAGGGGCAAAGGTCCACCAGTCCTCAAAAGAGCCGTAATAAGTCCAGAAGAGGTTTTACTATGCAGATGCAAGAACACAAACATGTTAGGCCTCTGAGTAGACATCCCCCTCCTGCCTGGTTACAGCTCTTACCCTGGCAGCTCGGAGACAAGGCACAGAACAATATAGGGTAAGTTTAGGACCTACAGCTTAATACATGTTTGTGAGCGAAAGGAGAGAAAGGATGGCCCCTTGCAGACAAAGGCAGGGAAGACAATCTGATTTATTGAGTTGGGGAGAGGGGAAAAGGAAGAGTGGTTTTGGATATTTCCTCATATCTTACTTCTAAAGTGAATGGGGGCAAAAGAGGTTCTCAAAAAAAAAACGGAGGCAAATTCAAAAGGTTATTGCACTTCTGAGTAGCAAACTGGAGAAATTAAGAAAAGAAGACAGACTCCCAAGATGTATGACAATCTGCTGCCTGCCTGAGTCCACTCCTTTGTAACAAGAAGGTGCTGCAGCACAACTTCTTCCTAACTGGCTGGGAGTGTAAGACTCAGCCACTTGGAAAGCAGCAAGGTAGGGGGCGGAAGCATGGGCACATTCCAGATGAGAAGCACCACTGTAGGCAATACTGACACCTCACATTTCTGGGTTTGGGGCCAACTTTTCCTGTCATGATCTGCCTCTCCCTCCTACTATGAGCTGACTTTGGCAAAATGCCCCTGTAGCACAAAATTATCCTTCCCCAACATGGTACTAGCTATGATGGCTGTGGATTATGGAGCCTGAAATGCAGCACATCCAGAGGAGGGCACCGGGTTGGGGAAGGCTGGCTTAAAGCATGTCCTCAACAGTCGACCGGGGACACCTTCCCAAGACTACAGGTCTGGAGTAATTTGCACGGTGACCAGCTGATGCCCTGCTATGCAGGTCAGGATGAACTAGGACCTCAGCCATTTGCAAGAAATGTAAAAACACTTCCCAGGCATCTGTATAAAACTGTTATTCCAGGAGAGTTTGGAAGTGGAAAACACAGGCCTGGTGTTTCCTCTAGCTCTCACCTCAGTGCTGGTGGGTGTGGGCGTCCGATCTGAAAGGGCTCCAGCTCCCATTTCTGCAGTATCCACCTCTACAGGAGTTGGAGTCCTAGCAACTGGCTTGAGGCCCAAGCGTTGCTCAACTGCTGACTTCAGTTCCAGCATCACTAGTGAAACAGAGAAAGCCCAAAAGTTTGAAAGCCTTCTAGTAGATACAACAAACTTCCAGCATGAGAAGAACAACCTATTTTTCAAGCCCACCTCCTACCCAAGTGCACAGGAAGCAGACTGACACAGTAGCTGTCACCATTTTCTAAGTTCATTTACAGTACCTAAAATTGTTTTGCTCAATCTGGCCGTCTCTCAGATGTGCTGAACCAAAACACCCATCCTCACGAGGCAACATGGCTATGTTGGTTGGGAATGATGGTATTGGAGCACCAGGCTAGGTAAGATTCATCCAGAACAGGAGCAGCCAGGCCTAAACTACCATGTTATTTTAACCAACCTAGCTTCTGAACTGCAACTAAACCTCACCCAGTACCACTGAACAAGAACAATATTTCCCTGCACAAAATTCCCTCCAGGAGTCTGAAATATTCTCCAAATTCCTGCCTCCCTGGCAAGGCCAAATTTCTTCTGCATTGTTCAATGCAATGGAAGCATAGTTGAACACTAACAGGAAGCCAAATCCTACCACCTGTATCTATTTTCAGCGGTCCAGGGTATTTTAGCTATTTGCAATGCAATTAATTTCTTTTTGGTGAGGTGGGGTTAGCATACACATGTTTTAGACAACAATATGACCAAAGTACATGATTTTCATTTTCCAAAAACCCTTGTGTGGTCAACCACACCAAATGTGCACATATCTGTAGTCTCTTTACTGCATTTCTTTCCAGGAACAAATGAAAGGCTACAGAGAGAGCTCCACAGTCAGTATGACCAAATCCATGGGTTATTGTTTTGGGGTTGGTTGGTTTGTTTGTTTAAACTGGAAGGCAGTACCCACCCCCACACAACTCATATTGCCTAGAAGTTAAAAATTTGGAGGAGACCAATCATTCTACCCAAATTTTAGAGTGTGTATATCCAGCTTTCACTCCTACAATGGTCAAGCAAAGCTGGGTAAAGAAGTTTGGCCCAGTACTAGCATCCACACCTCCTGAACCAGCTAATCCACAAAGCTAGTTTAGAGTGAGGGCAGGAACACTGTTTTTGCTACAAAAGAATGTCAGAGAAAGAAATGTGCTCTGAACTGGTTCATCCCTGTTTGTAGTCCACCCCTACCTCCAATAAAAACAGCCAAGTGCAATGGTTTGGTTGGTACATTTCATGGCAAAAGAAAAATGTTCTAAAACCATTCCAGCTCCATTTCAATAAAGCACTAATTTGCTCATTGCACTACCACCTGTGAAAGATCAGAGATCTTTCAGATAACACCACAGGTAGTTTATCATTTATACTACTTCCCTATGGTAATATCTTGCAATGCAATTAAGTTGCCAGCACTATTCCCAGAGAATGAAATTACAACCTGGGTCTCATGAACACTCAAGAATTTATTGAGAGGACTGGGGCAGTAGAGAAGAGATGCAGTTCTTCATTCCTCACCAAAATCTGCCATAAACAACAGAAAACCTCCATCTAGAACACCAGGGGATGACGGCCGGGATGAACAAACCATATTCCTTGCCTCACACAATTTTCAGTGGTCCAGGGAATTTTAGATACCTTCAGTGCAATTAATTTCTACACAGTCGTTTTGGTGAGGTGGGATTAGCATACACTTAGTCGTATTGTTTTACGTAACAAAGGGCAGGAGGACTCCATCTGGGATACCCTGTTTCCACCCATCTACCCCAGTCTTCTTCCCCAGAGTTCAAACAAGATAAATCAGAATGTTGTCTCTTACCTCGGTAAAATGCCACATTGCCCAAGAAAAGGCCATTATTGAGAAGAATGAAGACCCAACACAAAGGCAGCAGGTAGAGGGCACAAACAAAACCCATCAGCACCCCATAAAACCTAGACAAGGGTGGAAAAAGAGCAGATGAAACATTACGCACCTAGGCATCAGGATGACAGCCAAATGTCCAGAAAGCAGCTCAAGCCTGCCAGGCCTCCCTTGTCTCCTTAAACTAAACCACAACAAGACCCTCTCTCTCAGTTTGGACAAATGAACAGCTGCTCCCTGATCTTAAGTATCCAGACAGTAGTATCTTTGTGAAAGTCAGTCACTACAACTGAGCATGGGCAAAGGGTATCAGAGGAAAAAACAAGCTGCCAGGTCCTCTCTAATGTGACTTAGGCTGATCCAAGCACTAGGAAACTTCAACCCCCCCAAAAAAAAAACATTTGACTGCTAGATCCACTGCCACCATAGGCAACAACTCTCTGATGTCATGAAGTACTCTTGAAGCAACACTCACTGTGAGGAGAGAGAAGGGTTCTCCCAGTAGAGGACACGATAAGCGGCCTCACAGCTACCACACAGATGGCTCAGGAGGGCCTCTAATTGGATCAGACTGGAGGGAAAAAAGATTACAGCAGCATTGCATGCGTTATTTGGTGCCCCCCACACTCACTACTCCCACAACCACAGCAACAATCTATGTTCCTAATGTTTCATCACAAATGGTGAACATTTATTTCCCACACACATAACTCATCTATTCTAAGCCACTCACAAACAGGGAGCAAGGTCAGGGAAGATTTTGAGCTGGAAAAAAGATTCCCTCATCCACATACAGCACAGTTAGGACTAGAAACACTGCCAAAACCTGAAATTAATTGGATCTAGGTGGTTTGTGATGCCTGAGTGCACAAAAAACCTTAACATCATTCCAGCAAACCTTAATATTTTTTGTTTATTCAAACAAAGATTGGATTATGAGTTAATTTATATTTTCTGCACATGCAAATTTTGCATGACTAACCATCCATACTTCATGACATTTGAGTTCTCGGATGTTGGTTGCTGTAAACAAAGCATATATGGTAACAGCCAGTCAGAGAAGGGGGAAGTATGACATTTTATATTATGACACATTGGAAAGAAAAATTACCTACACCACACTCCTGTGACACACTTCAATGACTTGCCTACACAAACTCTCTCAAGATAATTTGAAAGCTAACTTGTATTCAAATTCATATCACTGGATTCTTAATGTGATGAACAAATTATAAATGAAGATGAACAGGGCCTGCCACCCAGAATTCTGCAAGAACTTCCTGTCTCTGGAAACTCCGTACATGCAGAGCTGGGTGCAGGAAGTCGTGTAAGTCTCCCGCATAGCATGGGAGTCAGCAGGATTCAACACCAAGTGGTGGGTTCTGGTTTCATATCCCTACTGGGCCACAAATATCTCATTATTTATTTAATTGTTACATCTGGAGGAGGGCCTTCCCTCCACATATGGCTGTCTTCCTCCACATTTCCTTCTTACAATAACTTTATGAAGAAAGGCACACTGAGAAAAAGTGATCTCCATGGCTCTGAGAGGACTTGAATCTGAATCTCACCAATCCAAAACTCTTAACCACTACACCACACTGGCTCTCATTAGGCCATCTTGGAGAAGTCTCTGCTGTTAGACGCAAACCCCCTTCTGTATAAATTGTGCTTAGCATCAGAGCTGTAGTGAGGCCAACCCTGCTATTCTATGCATGGCTACTTAGAAGAGTCCCACAGAATTCAGTTAATCCCTGATAAATGTGTAAAACACTGCAGACTATGTACAAAGTATGTTTTAAAATGTTGTGCTCATAAAGAAAACCAGAACATTTATTAATCACTATATTTTAGAAACAGGTTCCAAAAAACGGTTTGTTTTTAAATATTTCATGGAAAATATGAACAAATGCATTTTTATACTGAATCAGTGACACACACAAAAATGAAACTGCCAAGGAGATAATTGGGATAAGCTGGGCTAAACTACTCCCTCATCTAAGAAATACTTCCTCGCTGGCTATACCAGCAAAAGCATGGAAGTTTTAGAGGTTAAGCAAACAGCCTGTCTGTGGGCGCCTGGTGCAGTCTGATGGATAAACTGTGTACTGGAACAACAGTGAGATGGAACTAAGTGAAGGCTGCATTACTGTGGCAACAGGGATTTAAAACAAAAACAAAGAGACCCAAGGATAAACCTGGGAGGCAGAACAAATAAGTAGCATAGACAAAAGCATGAACTTTGACCTTGACTGCATCTTTCCTTTTGGATATGTCCAGGGCATGAGACCACATCAGGGAGACATCAGCATTCCAGGGTCTGATTCATCAGAAAGCAGTCAACATAGTGCCACATAGATTACTGGAGTTGTTAAGGATGAAGGAACATCCTTTTCTTATTGTCTTAAGAACATCTCAATAAACATCTCTGAAATAACTGCATTCCTTACAGAGACACGTGTGACACAAGAACCAGAAACTGACCAACTCTTTGAAAATCTACGCTTTGAGAGATTTCTATAACAACTGCATGCACTCTGAACTATTATGCAATTGAAAGAAAGCTCTGCAGAAGAACTCTGCAAGGAGGCTGGTAAAATCTTTACAAGGAGTTTAATTGCCAAAAGGCATCAGTGGAGGCTCTTCCATGAAGACAAGCAGAATGCTGTCCCATCTCAGGTCCAGATTACCTCCAGCCATCCTACTCCTCCCTGCCTCCTTACTAGAAGCAAAGGGTCAGGGCCCTGTTCCCCTCCTGTGTGTGTGAATATTTGTTTGACCACACCTGTGTGAGAGAGTGTTCCTGCACAGGTACTTTTGCCTTCGGCTCTGCTTATCCTCCTTGGTCCCATCCACCCATCTTGTGCCTTCCACTCTACCCATCGAAGAGAGAAGTAGCCAGCACTGTGCTAATTAATAACTATTATTAGAGATCTGATGTCTATAAGACAGCAATTCTTTATGACAGTTTGTCTGCTGCACTTACATGTCATCTATAAGAATATAAAATCATAGTCAAAACATAAAATAAATTCAAATCACATCAGTAAAAAGCGAGCCCAAAAAAAGAATGAGTAAAAAGACCACCAACAAATGGCACCCACCCATTAAAACCAAATTCAATAAGACTAAATTTAGTTGAAAAGACACTACCTCATCTGAATTTTAAAAAAAGAAAGAAAAAGTTTTGCTGGCTAAAATACAGTGTTGCCTCGCTTAACGATGATAACTGATTCCCCAAAAATGGCTGTAAAGCTATTTCATCGCTAAGCGAAACACGGTTTCCCATGAAATGCACTGAAAACCGGATAATCCGTTCCAATGGGAACAGATTGCCGTCCTTAAGTGAAAATTACCATAGGAAACATCACTAAGCGAAACACGGTTCCCCAACTGAAATGCATTGAAACATATTCAATGCATCTCAATGGGGGGGAAAATTACAACAAATTTAAAAAGAGTTGGAACAAAGTCAAATTAGTTTAACAAAGGGTTAAACTAATGATTTAAACTTATGATTTCAAGCATTCTGAACATTTTTAAACATTTTTAAACATTTAAAATACAGCCAACATGAGGCTGTCAAAACCATCGTTAAGCGAAACAGGGGGACCCAAACTGTCATCGCTATGCGAAGCATGGTCCCAAACATCGCTATGCGAAACGCGCCCATTGGAAACATCGTTAAACGGAGCGCAAGATCGCTCCGAAAAAGTCATCACTAAGCAATTTCATCGTTAAACGAAGCAATCGCTAAGCAAGGCACCACTGTACCTCAACAATGGTGACTGAATGGCCTTCTTTAGGGAGTCTGCTGCAGAAGAGCTAGCAGGCTTCCTGGCAGTTCTAGAGCAGGGGTGGGCAAAACAAAGCCCTCCAAATGTTGTTGGTCTTCTCCTCCCAGCATTCCTCAGTACTAGCTGTGCTGACTAGGGTGAATTGTACTTGCAGCTTGTAGTAAAACATCTGAAAGGCTGTATTTTGCTCAGCCCATTCTACATACACTCTAGGGACAGGCACCAAGGCTTGCTCTCCCTTTCCTAACAAAGAAGCTTCAGACAATAGAGAGACACAGAGAAGGGCTTCTCCCGAGGAGATTAGAATTCAGGCCAGCTTGGGTGGGAAAATACGCTAAGTCCCAAACCATGTAGGATTCCCCAGAATTGTCTCTAGAAATGGACAGAAACTGTAACATGGAAGTCCTGTTTCCTATAACCAGCCCTGGTCTGTCCTCTAGTTACCGCTTTATGTATCAATTTTTAAACACTTTTTCAAGGGCAGCCCTGTACAGTGCACATAACGCTTTTACATGCTACAGTATTGTGATTTTAAGGTATTGTCAGCTGCTCTGAGCAAATTATTCAGGCTACTAGAATGGTAGGAAAGAAATCTTTCAGTAAGTTAAATAAATATATACTAAAGACACCTTCAGTACCACAGCAACCAGTTTTTAACTTTTTGGACTGAGTTTATCTTTTCTGTAGAAAAGAAATGAGGTTTTTAGTTCATTCAACCACATTCCAAATCAGATGATGTATGGACAGGCATGTTTTCATGATCGTCTGCAAAATACTGCAAAGTGGCTACTGGCATGGTAACCTCTGGGTGGGGAAGAGTGACAGGTTAGCTCTCATGTTAGAGCTTTTGCCTATCAGCATTGATGCTCAATGTAGCTTCATTTCTAAATTCATATCCATCAAATAAAGCATTTGTCCTGATCCAATACTAATCTGATAATTGGCCTTAGCTCAGAATAAGTCTCAACCATAAAGTACACCCACACAATTTTTACTTGTACATCCAGAATGAAGCAATATCTGTTATAAAATCTTTAAAATATCAAAAACTATAACTGCAAAACAAGTGTATGCACTACACTAATATGGTGTCCTATTCATAGATAGCTAATAGATTCTATAAATCAGAAGCAGCAGTTATATTTAGTTGCAAATCAATATGTTTTAGTAGCTCCGCTGAACAGTGAGAACATACTTTTCTTTGGAAAAATAACTGTACAAACAGAAAAGTTGATTAAAATCAATGATTTAAAGATGAGACTTCTTGCTTGGTGATTGAAATCGATCCACAGTTCTGGGATGAGGATGCACATTTTTGAGAAGTGGGAAGCACAATCATAGAAGCACTTAAACAACCAAGAATCTTGTGGCATCTAAAAGGTGAACAAAATATAGAATGATGGATGGGATTTCTGGATTATAGTGCCCTTCACCAGATGCCATAAGAGCTCATCAGAATTTCTGAACTCTGATACACACATTCTCTCCATACATACATACATACATACATACATACATACATACATACATACATACATACATACATACAGAGAGAGAGAGAGAGAGACAGAGAGAGAGACAGACAGAGAGAGAGAGAGAGTGTGTACATATCATGACTTAGCCTATTTAATTTCCCACTGCCTATATTTCTACCTCTCACTCCATGTACTGTACATTCTGGAAAACACTTCAGGTACCTGACAAAGTGCACTATACTCCATGAAAGCTCATTCTATAATGCAGTCATTAGTCTTTAAGATGCCCTGGACCAGTGGTTCTTAACCTTTGTTACTCAGGTGTTTTTGAACTGCAACTCCCAGAAACCTCAGCCAACAGAGCTGATGGCGAAGGCTTCTGGGAGTTGCAGTCCAAAAACATCTGAGTAACAAAGGTTAAGAACCAGTGCCCTGGACTGTTAGCTGTTCTGCAACATACTACACAGCAATCCCTTTGGGAAATGTCAGTGCTTAACGACTCTTCCTCCAGTGTAGACTCAAAACCACAATTAACAAGGATGTGTGATGCCCTCCAGTGACTGAACTGAAGTAATGCACTTCAAAGGACAGCTACTCCACAGGCAATCCACATACTGTATATAGTTCCTTGCACTACTGTCCTAATGACCTCCCACCATTTCTTAAAAGTGGTATTATCACTGTTTTACATGGATGTACATACTATGCTACATCCTCCACATAACCTGTACAATTATTGTCCACATAGCTGTGTTGAAACAGGTGACATATAGTAAGTTGATTAGAAACCGTGATGTCATCTCAGCTGGCCTCAAAGAAATCCCTGACCTCCCCTTTCCCCAACTTCAGGTTCGAGGCACATAAATCTGCACACCACTACTTGGCCACTTCTGTATCCATCTTCTCTTATTTTTCTCCTGAGGCACAAGACTTTAAGCTGGTCAAACATGGTGAAATAGTCATCCAAGTGTAGTGCCGTGGAAACTGGCACAAAAAAATCAAGGTGGTGTAGGTTCACAAACTGTTTTCGTAAACTGAAGTATTTCTACCACACTGGAATAAGAGTGGCTCATCTGTTTGCATTCAAAACATACAGCAACAACACAAGAGAAAGAAAAATGGTCACAAAATCAGTTCCAAAAATTAAGAGAAACAGAGGAATACAACTGTTGGCCACTATACTACATGCATTCAGGGCAAGGGAGATGTTTCAGAAACGGAAGAACATCTAACGTGAATAACCTATGTGACTCTTCCGTTCTACACAAAGTTCCTGCCATCAAGTGTTCCAGGAGTTCTAGTTCCTGTCCTCTGAAGATTTCGGCCACACAGACTGGAGAAATGTTAGGAAGAAAAACCAGCAGAACATGGCCAAACAGTCCGAAAAACCCACAACAACCATTGGAACCCGGCTGTGAAAGAACACAACGTTCCAGAATATTACTCAACAAGCAGTCCACAGACACCCATTTGCTCCATTTCTCTTCTCCCCAACAGTACTTACAAGCCCTTCACTTCTGCCACAGCCTCATTTCGAGAAAGCTGAACTTTCCTCACATCCTCACGCCGTACACTGTGGTACCTACGGCGTGCCAGCTCTTCTTCTGTCAGGCGGATACGGCATGTTTCTTGTAGGTAACCGAGCATGGCGGGTACCAAGATTAGTAGGATAAACAGTCCATACCAAGCAGCTGGAATGAAAGGTGGGATGAAAAGAGACTTTATTAGGCTAGGACACTGCAAATCTAATCATCAGCCAGTTTTATCACCATCACCCAGTTCAAAGGACCTCAACAAAGCAGAACTGTCTGCCTGACAATCATGCTATTCTTTCCCTTCTTTTCACCCTAAGTGCCACCCAATCCTCATGACTTTGCCTCCAGTGAATTCCTATCCCATTCCCCACTGGCTCAGCCCCTCCTGCCATCGCATGCATCATGTGTGGAAAGAGGTATATTGCCCTCTCAAGTCCTTTGCATATTTACTCAATAAGTCTCACCTTCACTCAGGGTCAGCAGTAGGAAGTTGAGCCCCAGGCAAGTTACAAGGGAGCAAAGAGGCATTTGCCAGCTGTGGAACAAAAACAACCAAAGGATCCTTTAGCTGCATAAAGGAGGCACAAACATAAAAGTGGTGGAGCTACAAGAAAGGAGTTACTATTAGAAGGACAGGGTGACAAACTAAGGAGAGTGGCCTATTAAGATGGAAGTCAGATCCAAAAGAGGACACAAAGGTTTAAAAAAGGATAATCGCTGCAATCTGGTTAGTCACAGATCCTGTATTTAAGGCCAAACATCCAGAGAGCTCCTAGCCCAATCTACCTGCAATCTCCAGTAAAGGGGATGGTATTCACTGTATGAAGAATAAGATCAGAGGGACTTCACTCTTACATATCAGGAAATGTATGTAGTACACACAGAGGGCCTATTTCCTCTCAGTCCTCAAGTATTACAATAGCCAACCAAAGTTCTTCTCCCAGTAATCCACCCTCCAAAGATGTCATAGGGGGTACCCACCTGAGGAGAAACCACACCCCTTCAGCAACATCTTGCAGTGGTTCCAGATACAGCTCCAACTTCTTGTATGACACAACTAGATTGAAGAGGTCCAGGGGAGGGGGTTTAGTAGGTGAAGGAGAAACAGGCTTTGTATCAGATGCTGTCGGGCTATCCAGCCCATTCCCTGTGTGTGCTCCTCCTTCACGCTCGGATAGCTGCATACTATAGATAGGGAAGTCATTGCAAAAATAAATGAAAAAATGAAAAATAAAACAATTAGCTTCCCCCCCCCCGAGTCTGAGGGAAAAAATAAGTGACAACATCTGAAGAAGCACATGGCTCCATGTGTAGAAACTGTCTTTTTCAACCAGAAAAGTCACACACAAAACTGGGATACCTACAAAATTTACCTTTGCCCCACTGAGGCCCCAGATCCTAGATGACACAATGCAAAATGTCAATGCATTCCATGGGCTGATTATCACAAGTAGCCCTTTACACCAACAAGCCTACACTAGAATCTCTAACCCACAAACATGCACTGGTGGAGGAGGATGGAAGGAAATCCACCTGTATTCATACCCTTCTTTAACCAGGATAACAAGATAGGCACAGGAAGGTTAAGAGCTAACCAGCCTACCTTAAGTGATCCGCTCAGCACACTCCATCAAAGGATGCAAGGCATTTGGATGTGTGTGTGTGTGTGTGTGTGGTGTTTGTGTGTGTGTGTGTGTGTGTGTGTGTGTGTGTGTGTGTTTATACCACAGTTTGCATAGTTTGAGGTGAGCAACTTCACCAGCTGGATCTAGACAAAGAAAGTAAAGAGCAAAAAAGATGCTCCTGTCTAGGAAGTCTGAGAGCAAGGAGAGAGATCATCTCTCTCTCTCTCTCTCTCTCTCTCTCTCTCAGGAGACGACAGTGAAGTTGTCAGCCGCCTCCTCCACGCCATCCCCGCCGGAAGGGCTTCTGCGCCTTTAATAAACAGCCACTCGGCACAAAGAAACGGAACAGGTAAACCTTGCGGCATCAATGCCCGTTATGGCGACCTTATGAATGAACGATCTCCAAAATAGATCTCCCTAAAGTCGCCATAAGTCGGAGGCCACTTGACGGCACGTAACCACAACGGCAGCAGTACCGCCTAGAGATGCTGGGAAAGATTCACCTGCTGAATTTCTGCCTGGCAGGCAGTTAAGGGCACCGTATGCCCTTCCAGGAAAAAGAAGCGCAGGGATTCCAACTCAAACCTGGAGCCTTGAGGTCTCAAGTACTGCACAGAGATCCCATGGAGCGAATGCCCTCTTCGTGGGATGGGCGAGGATCCCCCGGCTCCTCCCTCTCGAGCAGAAGAAGAAGCCGCCGCCGCCGCCGCCACCCTGAAAGGGAGAAAGGGCGGAGCCGGCACACTGTCAGGCTCGAACTCGCCCCCTCTCCCCGAATCGTTGCAACTCGGAACGCCGCCACTTCCTGGAGAGGAAGAACCCGGCGGCACCCGACCTCCACTGCGCAGCGCCACGCTGTGGGAAGGGAAGCGCCTCTCCGGCCCGCCCACCTGAGACACACAGCCAATCGAAAGCGACGGAACCAGGCCGTGAAGGAGCGCGCGACCTTTCCCGGAAAGCTCCACCTCTTATTGGTCGAGAGCGGCCGGCCGCCTGCCTGCCTCCCTCTGAGAGCTTGACTTCCTGCAAAGCTCCGCGGGATGCTGTTTATAGAACGTGGGTTCGTGGACGAGCTTTGTCGCTTTCCCAAGGCCAGCGGAACGAGAGTGCCCTTTTCCCAGTACAGTCGGATAGCCAGTTGTTCACCCGTATCACTATCACTATCAGCTGTTTCTCAGCACAACGCTTAGCCAGTATTCTTGACCTTGGAGCTCTTTGATAGCCACCAACCTGCGGTGGAGTCTTAAAAGGAGATGTTTGAATGAAGGATGAGAACAGCCCCTGAAACCGTGAAAGGGGCTGCTAGATCGGTGTCGTCGTCCCCCCCTCCCCCGATTAGAAAATAATGCCCTTTGGAATGGCTGCGTTTCACTGAAACCAATGCAAATTGCGAAGTATCAAGGGAAGAAGGTCCGAAAGAATAAAACGAATCCGTCATAAGCCAGAAGTGAACGAATATTATTTATTTTGGTCTTTCGTATTGTTTGAAATTTTTGTGTTTTTAAAATACGCTTTTGTTACATGTAGGAAGCTGCTTTTTGGAAGGACTTCGGAATCCAGTGTACTGAGAGCTTCGCAGTTAGTACCGAGCCGTACACGTTCAGGAAAATGTCATAGTTTAAAAGGCAGGGCGCATGCTTTACACACAAGACGATGGCCGTCGAAGAATATTTGTGATCAAACGTCAGCCGTATGAATGGGCCAGCAAGAGGCCAGGGTAAGATACGAGAAAGGAAGGGTTTGGATTTCAAGGGCAAAATTAAAGCGAAGGCCTCTTTGTTCAATTAGGAAATCTAACAAACCCTTGTATTTCCACAACCCGCATCAGTGGGCAACAGAATATCTCGAATGTGCAAGCTTTTGACATTCCCAGATCTCTTCATCGGGCAAGATGAAAAAGCAGAGGGAGAAACTAAAGCTCATTTGTTTTTTGATATTGTGGTGTTACTGTCCTGAGATGCAAGGAGAGATCGACAGATATGCAAATGAAGCTTTAACTACATAATAGTAGTATCAATAACATCAAGATAACAATCAAAACCCTTCGGGTCCTCACAATGACAACGACACCTGCTTCTCCTTTTCAAGGGGAAAGGCGGATAAAAATATTTTAAATACTGTAAATAAAAGCACTTTGAAAATGCATGGCAACCCATTTCAATCGAAGTAAGCAGGCTACCTTAGAAGAATAAATACTATTAAAACCTTTAGAGTGTGGTAAACCCATACTGAAAGCATTCACACTTTCCCTCATTCTCACTTTGCACTGGGATGTGCCTACTTTAATGGCAAGTGCGGACAACAACCTAAATAATGCTGATAAAAACGGAGACTGCAATGTGATACGGAAACCACAAGATGGCCCTCCAGAACAGACTATGGCTCCCTTCCAAGGGGGCCCGGATCGGGCGAGGAGGAACGAGTGAACCGTTCAGCACACTTCCTGAAGTCAAGCATTTCGCTTCTCTCACATTCCAAAATCCAGTTAACGCTTTATTGGAAGCAATCGAAATTGCACATATAGTCCAGAAGCTGTGATACTGTACTTCAGAAAAATCATGACTCTGAGATGACAGCAGCAAGCCTCCGGATAGCATAACGCTTTTCCGTCGTATCATTTGTTTACCCTCTCAGACTGACTACACACACACAAACCCCAGGTCACCGCAGTAGTCAGATCCCAGGGTTTTTTAGTCACCGTTTGCATCTTTCTAACGTGGCCTTCCTTTCCCCCCAAAGTTTGACGTTTATTTATAGGATCTGCACTGCCTATTCGAAAAGCACCAATTCGGGAACGGACACTGCCGCATTAGACAAGGTCTTAAACTCTCAGAGACGATCGCGGGCAAGGTTGAGACCGATCACAAGCATTTAGCTCGAAGGTTGCAAACAGCTTTCAAAACACGACGGGGCGCCGTCTTCCAACGCTGGGGCGGAGCAAAGTGGAACGTCGCGCTTTAAGGGGCGGTGCTTCATAGATTTGCAGGCCTCCTGGCCCTGCCAACGCTTAGCACGGAAGGGAAGTACTGTACACTTAAAGCAAAATGTTATCTGGTGATTTGCAAATATAAGGCCAGTTTTATTTTCTCCTGTCAAGTCAAGAGCCATAGTGGGACCCATAGTTCTTGGCGAAAACTTGTTTTAAGTTGCTTTTGTTCGCAACGTGTATGTAATATGTTATCACCTTTGGACTTAAATGCTGTTACTGATTAGAAGCAAACTACTGTAATGAGTTGGCATAAATTGTCCCTTTGTGTGGAAAAATGTTGTGGTTGCCTAGCAATGCAGGCCGATCCGCATATAGACGAGCTTTCAGAAGCGCTTGGAAGATGAGGTGTGTTTGGGAATTGTCCAATTGGCACTTCCAGAGGCAAGCAGGAGCATAGTTTGGAACAACTATCTTTTTGGACTACAGAATTCCAGAAGCATCTATACTGGGGATTTTGGAATTTGGAAAGGTGACTTTTCTGAATTGCGAGAGATTCTTTGCAAGGACTGAAAAGCTAAGTATGCCATATACCCACAAACAGTGGAATTCCTTGCCACAAAAAGCAGACCACAACAAAGGCAGCAATGTTCAGGAGATAAATACTGTAGGTCAAACAACACTCTTAAAAAATTGCTCTGGCTGTGTGAATGCAGATGTGTGAAAAAGAAAAAAAAGAAGGGAAAGAAAGGAAATGGCAGTGTTTATAAGGTGAAGCTAAAGTCACCAGATGGAAGACATGTACCTCATATCAATAATAAACCAGCAAGATTTCAGCACCTATGTGATGCAGCGCTAAAAATTAATAGGTTTTTTTAATGTAAAGTGATACGGTTCAGTCAGGAGGCATAATTGCTGATTTCCCCGATGGGACAGCATCTCAAACTGCTTGAATCACATCAAAATGTTGGCACACAGAATACAACAACATTGCCATTCACACAGCCGGAGCAATTTAAAACAAGTCCCCAATGGGTGCTCAAAAAAAAAAACCTAATTCCTTGAAGAAAAGTTTGTTTCCCCTGTGCTTACAATAATGTTGTACAGTCAGGAAACTGAATCAATTTGCAATTGCATTATGCTAAACCTGGAGTAATTGGAGGTGTACATATATCGCAACATAGTTACACCCTGAAGCTCTCTACTCCAGACTCATCCCCTTTGCCTGACAGTTTCCTAGAAGGTGGGCCTAGTTTTCTTTTTTCACATGTTTAATCTCTTAAAGAATAACTGAATTTAACATCTCCTCGTTGCACAGTAATGAGGAGCCTTGTGAAATGTCAGTTCCCTCACTTTTGATTTTAATATTATTCTTGCTGGAAGGATATCCAGAAGATAACTGATGCCTTGCTGTGGACCAGGGCTTGGAAGTAATGTGTGAGAAGCGACACTGTCCATAACATGTTGCTTGTTTTGAATAACAAGTGATAACACTATTTATTTTCAACACAATAATGCCCGAAACATTTTAATTTTGCATAGCTGGTAATGTTTGCTTGTTGTTGCAAAAATGGTACATTTTAGAAAATATTGGATTTTTTTCCTCTCAATTCATTGTTAATTGGGGCTAAAAAAAAGTACATTGTATTAATAAAGTGTCATCTTACTTGCTACTTATGGGTAACACATAACTTGTGATTTGTATGGGAGCAATATTTGCCCTATGAGCCTTAAATCTTTCTCCTGGAGGGCCTGAGGGTTCTCAGGGCAGGCCTCCCACTGACTGGGCTGAGGAGCTGACTGTTGTGATTGGAATGTCAGTCCTTCCCTCTCTGTCTGGTCCTGTCTGCTGGCCTAGCAAAAGACTGGTTGTTAACAGGCTGTTGCAAGGCTGAAATTCCTCTCTGAGGGGAGGTTTGGAGACTGTGGCTGTAGATTTCTATTGCTGCCTTTCTGAAGCATAAAAGTGTCATTGTGACATTGTGTCTGGGTGTTTTTTCACACATATCAACAATACATTTATTAGTGTCAGCAGGATTGTATTGTATTGTATGAATTGTTACTTAGTGATATGCTTAGTGATAGAGTGAACACATACAGTTTGAACTCTTTCAGCATACATACATCAGTTAGCCAGCAGCTACAATCTACAGTGGTGTTCCTAGGATTTACTTTGTGCAGTAGTTTCAGACTCAAAAGATTGAACATGCCATCTTGATGAAGCAATAATAAAATCAAGAGAGGCCATTCACTTGGCCCCACGACTTTTACAGTTGTGTTTGGTGAAGACATGGGAGAGGGCCTTCTCTGTTACTGCTTCCAGATGTTGCGTCTCCCTCCAACACGAGGCCAGGCTGGCCCCATCTCTTCTGTCCTTCCGCAAGCAGGCAAATACCTTTCTCTTCAGGCAAGTTTTCCCTCAGTGACTAGCTGCCTGAATAGGGTTTGTAAATGGATTGTTGTGCCTTACTGCTTTTAATGTGTTTTTGGTGTTGCTTTTGTTTACTGCTTTTTAGTGTGGTATTTGCTTGAGCCTTTTAAATATTTGTATACCTGATGGTTATTTTTAAAGCGAAAGGCAAGATAAATTATTTTAAATAAACAAATAAACAAACATATGACCAATGGCCAGTTTGTCATTTACTTAAAATGAAGTAAACAGAGGGAGGAAGAAAATCAATTATTTCTAAGTAAATTTATAACATGAAGACTATGAAATGTACTATGGTGCATCACCAAATATATTTATCTCTGTGTTTCAAACGATAGGTTGTTAGCTGGAAACTTTTCTTCAGGAAGACAAGACTCTCCTTCCAGCTTCTCCCCAGGTATGCTTATCTTCCCACTATTGGGCATGAGTTGAAACTAATGCATTGATCTCTGCTTAGGTTACGCCTTTGTGTATTAAAGCTTATGTAATGCATGTAACCAGCTTGTTCTCCAGCTGTTTTTTTACTTCAGCGCTCACAATCTTTAGCCACTGTTTATGCTAGCTTGAGCTTCTGTGAGTGGATGTCCAAACAGATGTAGAACCAAACGCTGAAAACTACTGATGTAGATGGCAGGTCTGTCATCAGCAACCAGTCATAACAATCAACAATCATTTCAGAGACAGTGTATTATCACTTGCTTTTAGATCACAGGTTCCCATTGGGTCCCCAGATATTATTGGACTAAAACTCCCAGAAGCCTTCGTAACTAGCTGTGCTGGCCAGTATTTCTGGGAACTGTCTTCCAATAATATTTCTGGAAACTGTCTTCCAATAACATATGTAGATATAAGGCTGGGAAGCACTGCTTTAGACAATACGTATTAACACTGCATTTCATAAAACTTTTGATGCAGTCAAAAAATGGGAAGCACTGCTTTAGACAATATATATTAACACTGCATTTAAAAATGACTAATGTTTATGCAGGATTTCATAAAACTTTTGATGCAGTCAAAAACATCTGCATGTGGTGAAAAACTGGAGGGAAATTCCTCTGAAATTATGATAGGCCATTTTCAGGCAATTTGCAACTCAGATGTCTTTCCTGGCATCTTGTGATTGGATAAGGAACAACATAGACAAGATGGAAGGGTCCACCCAGGAGCAGACCCCTACAACAGAAGCTGGAGAACATTTTTGTTATGAGGAACCTGTGCTAAATTCAGATATGTGGTACAGACAATAGTGGACACAATCAGCACACAAAATGTGTGGAGTCTGCAAAATTTCAGGGCTACATGGTGTTACATACAGCACTGATGTTACCTGTCTGTCATGGGTTTGGAGGGAAAGTCCCATCCTATGGGGAGTGGAAGGCGGGACATCAGGAGGAGGGGCTGTACTGTATATATATGTGGAGCGTGTGTGGAGAGTTTGGAGGAGAGCTGGAGAAGAAGCAGCAGCTGGGAAGAAGAAGCTGGTGTGGGAGTCTGTGTGTCAGACAGGGTACTACTGTGTGTCAGTCAGTACCAACCTGATAGGTTCAGGTGTCTGTATGGTTAGCCAGAACTGATAGGTTCAGGGTCTGTGCTTCAAGTTAAGTGTTCTGTGTGAACCAAACTGTGTGCATGTATGAATGAGACTAAGCCACGTTACTATATCTTATTCACCTGATCATTTTATTTTCCCTGTGTGTTGTTTTAAATAAACCTTGTTCTTTTATTTGTTAAAAATCCATCCCTGGTCTGTGTGACTTCTTATAGGGAATGGTTGGTGGCAGCTTAGTTAACGTGTGGCAGATCCCAGTAGGTCTGGGTTTGTCACATTGATTGGTGTCCAGCGTGTCACACATGGTACTTTTTTTATGTCACTTCTTCTCTTTCCTACCTATCAATTGCTTATCTACAGAAGACAAAAAAGGGGGGCACATGAAATTGAGCCAAAGGCTGCATGTGACTCTTGGGCATAGCTTTCTGCCCCCACCCCAGACCTGCAGCCTTTGGGCAGGAGAGAAAAAAGAGGAAGAATCTTTCTATGAAAGAAATTCTTTCCCACACTTTCCACAAATACTGTTTTCACTGTCCTCATGGCTATGGTGTTTCCCTTTTCACTGTCCTCATGGCTGTGGCATTTGTAATAGCACAGAAATACTGCAGAGATATTTGTTCTTACACTTTGGAAGAACTAAGCAATGATGAACTCACAAACATTCTATGCTCCACACATACATTTATTGCAATGCAAATGAGTTACAAAATGTGGGAAGGGGGTCCAGAAGGCAACCTTTGGGAATGGGACAGAGCCATAGCCAGCTGACATTCCATGGCATGAAGATGAGGATCAAAATGGGGAACTAAGAAAATCAATGCCTAGAAATGTTTAAATATTCAAATCTGCAACGTATAGCTTGGTGTCATGGTTTAGAAACTATGGACCCCAAATGTTGTTGGATTATGTTTCCCAGGATCCCTTACCAAGCTGGCTGGGGTTTGATATCCAGTAACATTTGAAGATCCATTTTCGGAATCACATGCTCACTGAAATTTATCCCATGAACACAGTCCCATTTATTTACAGGAGTAGAATATAGTATATAGTGGCAAGAAGTACCCAAAACTGAGTGGATGTCACTGATCTAAATCTAGTCTACATTGCTGTACCCATGACTTCAAACACAAAGTGTACCAACTGTAGCTAGAAGAGAATCTGCAACATCCGGAACCCATTGCCACCTCCCTTTGTCTAAACAAAAAGATGGGGCTTTGGTGGATGACAGCATAGCCCTCCCTTCTCAGAAGCTTCTTTCAGCTGGTGGACTGGGAACCTTCAGGATGGTGTCAAGTGGCTTCTGAGATTCAGCATGTCTGAGGTGCAGGACTCCAAGCAGGGAAATCTACAATGGAAAAAGGCAATCACTTAGTGATTACATAGTGCTATCACCTTCCCTGTAAGCAGGGAAATCTACAATGGAAAAAGTGATTACATAGTGCTATCACCTTCCCTGTTGTAATTTTAAATAATTTGTCTATCTACCATACTGACACCCACTAATCTACAACCCTTGACCAAACTGCCTTGGTATAACCATGTGTGCTGTCTCCCATTATGCTGACTGAACTCCACCCTACATGATAGACAATGTTCCATTCTTTCTGTCTCCTCCCCTGCTGCCCAATGCGTGGCCTGTTCGTGTAAATATTAATCAGCCCAGCTCTAAAGATACATGAAGAAACTGCTTCTGGCATAAAAGGAAACAAAACAAAGAAGTGGGTAATACCTAAATTAGAATTATTAACATGTGACAAAGTGGCAAGTTTCTGAGTTCTCCAGACGTCTTAATTAGTCTAAATGGTACAAAAGTTAGGGGATAGAAAAAGAAATGAAAAGTTCAAAAACCTGGCTGGATGCCATAGTTCACTGTCTTCTTAGAGGCAGCAAAGTAAAAGGAGCTAGGGATCCCCACCCCACCCAGAATGATGTGAGGACAGCAAAGTATGCTATCCCCATTTGGCTTCTACAATTCCATTTGCTCCCTAAACTATTACTTGAAGGGCACTTATCCTGTTCCTAAATGCAAGGTGTCTTACCTCAGGACTGACGTGGTGTCAGGGCCTCTTCCTAGGCACAATCTTTTCAGCAGCCACATGTCCTGGCCAAGGCATCTACTCTGGCTAATCCAGGAAAACAAAGAGATACTTCTGGCACAGAAGAACTCCTGTATGCCACACACAAGGGGTGCTCAGATCCTCATAGCAGAGTACAGTAAGAAAGATAAAAACATATTGGAGCAATGTCTTAATTGATTTTAGAATAAAAGGAGGAAAGTTTGGAATGTCCAGAAGCTGATGGCATGTCTTTCAAAAACTCCTGTAGCTCACTCTAAGGCACAGTGTCCTAAGCAGAAAGGCAGGTGATGTACGCTTCGCATGTAGCATTGCTGGAAGAGCATTGTTTGCTGATGGAGGAGGAAGACTCCAACAAGATGAGTCCTCTGAATCTTTTGAAAACTACTGGTTCAGAAAGAACATCAGCTGTAGCGTTCTTGCCAAGGGCAATCTTTTCTTAGTTGCTCAGAGAGATTGGCATGATTGAACAAACTATAGAAGTTTGGAAAGGAAGGGTCTTTTTTCCAAGGCACGTCCATGTTTCAGAGGCACTTTTCCTCTCAGGAGCAGGCCACAGTAAAATCATATGCATTGCCCTCCATTTGTATGAGGGAGCCTTCAGTTTTTGTGGAAGGGACTGGTTCTGCATGTTGTCCCTGGATCCAAGATTTGAATGGTCAGATCCTGTCACATGACATGGTGGTGCAGTCACATTAAGGGCTGGCCATTCCATCCGACAGAGTGAAATAGCTGCTTCAGGCATAGATGCTGGAGAGCAGAGCAGCAGTTTCCCCATCATTCCTCCAAATGCCCAAGGCTAGGCTACCCTTCTCCTTGCTCCTCTTCTGCCAGACATCATTGTTGCTATTCTGACTTTGGATATGGCAGCTCTAAGCAGTGATGTTGCATTGCATTCAAACTAGATTCTGGTCTATCTTGGACCCATGATGTTAACCTGTTTGTCTCAGGTGTAGTAGAAGATACTGTTCCCTCACCAAGACTGAAGCAGGATTCACTTGATTTTCTAAATAGAATGGAGTGCCCGCTATTCTTTATCTCAGACAACAAAACATGTTGGAGTGGCCCTGGAGATAGCTCTGGCTGCTAAGCACTGAGGCATCAGCCTCTCTAAGGCTGGATTATCAATACATGATACATAATCAATACATAATCTCTGTATTATGACCATGACAGAAGCCTTTCATACAGTGTAACTTTGTTTTCATTGGTGCTGTGGGAAGGAGCTGTCTTCTGCCCCAATTCTGAGCCCAATGTCCAGTGTTTGGAGTACTTACATTTCTTCTAGTGTTCACATTGCAACTGCTTGTACATTTTTCCTAGAGAATGTCTTTCCATTCTGCTCTATAACTCCATGCGTTCTCCCATCCAGATGAGGATTTATTTTTATACAAAAATAAGCTATGCATGCATCTCTAGGCTATAATGGAAACAAGAAGGTACATGGTCATGCCATAAAAAGTGCTGACCACAATCTGGAGTCTAGAATGTAGCAAAATGTCTTATTTACTGTGAACATGGCTATGTTTAAGAGTTCTTTAGAGATTAGGGGCCTCAGAAAGCATGAAATCTGAGATCCTTGGTCTTAAATTGACTGTTTTCTAAAATTAATCAAATCGCTAAATTGGGTTTCAGGCTTATAATGGGACAACCAGGAGGGATCCTCACATGTGATCCATCCTGAGTTCAATAATGGCCATAGCTGATGATCAGTACTTCCTTTCCATTTCTAGGATGGGCTCCTGCTCTTTTTTCTTTGTCTGACCACAAGACTTGCAGAGGTTTGCAGTACTGTATTTCCTGCGATCTGTGACAAATCAACTTAAGGGGTGAGTTTGCGCTTATAAACGACGACAACTTATCTTCATGAAAGCAATCCATTCATTAATACAGGGAATAAAAAGAGCAACATTTTTTTAATCAAAGATAGCTGAAGTCCTCCTTTGAGCTAACCCTTATGGTTAACCCTAGAAAAAGCTAGGGAACTCAGCTCAGGAACCCATTTTTTGTGCTAGGCCTAGGATATACTGAATAGTATTTTAAAAAGAAAGACAACCTCTGAACCTGGGCAAAGTGCATCTCCCTTTTATTTTAACATGCACATTCCATGCCTCACATGTGGGTTGAAAAGTCAGGTCTTCCAAATAGGGGGTAGAACTTCCTTGCTAATATGAACTCTATATTTATAAATGAATAACTGGTTAATACAACTAGGCTATGCAAATGCTATAAAGTCCATATCAGGGTCATATACAATTTTTTTAAAAAATTACAATAGAAAGCCTTCATTTATAAATATTAAGGACAGAATGTTACTGGCCTCTAGAAACCGATAGACTTTGAACAATTGCTTACCACTCCTGAAACAGGTTACTATTATTAATAAAGCCAATGGTGCATATTCAAAGGGTGGCTATTCGAAGTCACACAACAACTCGGTGCAAGAGGATAAGAACCTGTGCATAGGGCATAAAAATAAACAAGCAATGATTGTGAAGAAACTATGTTAAATCTGCTTTGGTGGAGACTATAAATAAGAATGAATTACTGTGGGCTTCCTGTAGCAATCACAAATACGGGAATCAGAGGCCAGACCAGACATCCCAGACATGCAAAAAAACCCACTTGTGAAGTGAAGGAGGAAGAGAGATAGGAAAGCCCATTATCTCACACACCCCACCCCACTTTCATCTTAAGGATATACCATTTCGAGCTTCTGGGTCATGACGAGAGGTATTCAGGTATTGATGATGGGGTAGAATTGTCCACAGGCAAAAGCATCCATCAGTCAGAGGAGAAGGGGATGTTTTGTTATTCCATTTGGAATGCAACAATGAGTCTGGAGCAAGGAGCAGTCTGTGGGAACAATGCAGGTGAGTCTTGTCTGTCTGGTTGATGAAAAATCTGTCCATCAATCTCCACGTATCTTCTGGCATCTCTCACATGATGTTGTGGTGTCCTGAAGAACGCCGTACCAAGCAGTAGAGTCCTGACAGCAGGTATAAGAAAGCAGAAATGCCTGCAAAGATGGCAGCAGTCAAGTAGGCACTATAACTGCAGGGCTGGCTGTAGCCTCGCAAGTTGCAGTAGCTGACCCTCTGTGCTTTGTGGCCCATAATGCCTGCAGCGGCAGCAAAGAAAACCATCCCAAACAGCAGGTCGTGCACGATGTTTGTCAGGAGCCATCGAGTCCCCAACACAGGCACCAGAGCCCAGCGGCCCAACACGCTGAGGCCGAAGAGAATCAAGGTAAGCAGCCACACGAGGACAGCTGCAAAGACAGCAAAATAGGTGGCCCCTTCGTACTTGTGTGCCGCTATAGTCACCCAGCAGACAGCACCCGACAGCAGCTGTGCAATGCGCAGCCCTCCCAAGAGACTTCGCAGAAAGGCCTTGTTCAGGCTGAGAGACTCTCGAGATGCAGGGCAAGGGGGTGGCGGTGAGGAAGGGGGTGGTGGAAGAGGCATGCTGTAACACCAGGGCCTCCGGGAGCTCCCGTCCTGTTGCGTTGCGTGCCTCCTGCACCCCAGCAAATCTCACTCTCCTCCTCCCTCTCAGGCTCTTCCTCTGTCTGCAGCTGCCAAACATCTGGAGCCTAACAGTCTTTCCTGCACTGGGGCCTCTCAGCTTCCCCTGTCTGTCCCTCCCTTTTCCCCCCTCTTGCCCCTCCTCTCCTCTGGGTGATTCTCCACCCTTCTGCTAAAAACTCCCTCCATCTCTCATCCACACCCCTACAATCCCATCTGAGATCTCTCAAAATATCCATTAAAAGCTGGCTTCACCAGCATTGACTTTCTCTGCCACACTGTAGTTCCCGAGTCAACAGAGCTGAAACAAAACAAAACAAAACAGGAAGCTGCAAAGAATAACACATTTTATTTGCCACAGACTTTAGTGGATGTCAGAAACATGAAGTGTTGGCACACTTTGTAGACTCTGTGTATAATAACCTGCCAGCTGAGGCATCGGAAATGGGCTTTGCAGGAACACTTATCTAAACTAAACACTTATGCCAAATAATATCTGCCTGTGGCTTGATACCTTTTGATATTTTAGCTGCAACAAAATGACCCGATTGCTGCCAAGGAAATCCAACAGAAAAGGTTGGCTCAAAATGTAGGCCCTGCAGGCTCAGAGTACTGGGATAAGTCAGAAAACTAAGGGTACTTACAACCTTGCATGGCAGCCCATGGACTTACTGCAATACTCAAAAGGGGTGCAAGTGGGCTACATCCTGCTCTCACCATCTGGACCAATCTACCGTGACCTAAAGAAAAAGTTTAGGTGAACTTTTTATTAAACTTCTGGCACAACAGAAGGGGAAAATAACTTGTGGAATTTAAATAATTTTCTCTTGCCCAACAATTATTCCGGGAAATGATGTATTTGGCAGACTGTGGTCCAACAGGTGTTGCAATATATAGCATTCCTTGCCTGTGGCTGTGCTGGTTAAAGCTGCTGGGAGCTGCAGTTCAATTAAACCTGGAGGGGTATATTTTACCTAGTGCTGCACTATTTATGTATTTTTATTTTATTTTACAATATTTTGCCCTGCCTTTGTCCCTAAAAAAGACCCAAGGCAACTTACATCATTCGCCTGTGGCTGTGCTGGTTAAAGCTGTTGGGAGCTGCAGTCCGATTAAACCCGGAGGAATATATTTTACCTAGTGCTGCACTATTTATTTTTTTATTTTATTTTACATTATTTTACCCTGCCTTTGTTCCTAAAAAAGACCCAAGGCAGCTTACATCATTAAAAGAGCATTTTTAAAGCAAAAGTATATAAATACTTAAAAAAGGATCAAATACCACACTAAAAAACTAAAAACAAAAGCAACACCAAAAACACATTCAAAGCAGTAAAGGTTCTGGTTTGTGTACTCTCTTCATTCTCTCTGAGACCATCATTTTAAAACCCAACTCAGGTAGCCAGATGTTAAGAGAAAGCTTGCATGAAAAGAAATATCTTTGCCTGCTTGAGGAAGGAGAGCAAAGATGGGGCCAGTCTGGCCTCCTGTGGGAGGCAATTCCAAAGTCTGGGAGCAGCAACAGAGAAGCCTCTCTCCTGTGTCCCCATCAGACGCATCTGTGAAGGTGGTATGGAACCAAGAGAAAGGCCTCTCCTGATGATCTTAACAACAAAAGGAAGACATGGTCCTTGAGACAGCTTAGATCCAAGCCCTTTAGTGCTTTATAGGTTAAAATCAACTTTGAGTTGTGCCTGGAAAAAAAAAGGGCAACCAGTGACGTTGCTGTAACTGGGGGGTTATGTGATCTCCGTGACCAGTCCCAGTTAGCAATCTGACTGCAGAAGAGAATGAAGAGAGTACACAAACCAGCACCCTCCTGAGAAAATATATCCACTGAATTTTGCTTCTAACCTAATTAAAAATTGTAGCTGGATTTTGTTATTTTCTTTTTCCCTCTCCATTTTGTTTGTTTTGTGCCATGCCTTTTTAGATTTTATATCTGAGAGGGGCTGCATGCCTTTTTATTGATACTTGTAGAGTGGAGTGTAAAAACTTTAAAATTTAATATTCACAAATTGATGTATCTGATCTGTATTTGAACCTTCACTCCCATGTCTTTAAAATGTCCAAACGCACCCTTTGGTCCAGCTGCTTTGAACAAGTGTGATTTAGTCAGGCTCTAATCAGCTTTCCCTTTATTCACTGCAGAACTGTTAGATACAGCCTATGGCCTTTCCATTTACTGTAGTTATAGGAAAGAAAGGGGAAAGCTTGTTAAAAATTGAGGAGTTGGGACAAAATATGGAACAACAAAGTTGTTTCAGCAAAACAGGTTATGAATGCTCTTTTTAGACTAAACTTGAATTTGTCATCTGATGCAATTTACCTTTTAGCATGAGAAAACCTTGCCCTTGCAGCATCAGAACCTCAGGTGATGGTAAATAACCAGCAGTTTGCTCACAGTTATTATCTCTAAAGCACACAGTCTTTGATCTTTCATGTTCTAATTTTTTCACTGGTCTCTCCTCCCCACTCGCCCATCCCCCTCTTCACACACAGCAAATCCTATCCCAAACAGATACAGTCCAGAAAATCCTGTACAGTATCAGGGTTGCCATTCCAAACATACAGTTTTCCACTAACGTATAAAAGGTCTCATTATTGAAAACTTCTACTTTAGGAGTCAATGGAACTCTTGGCTTTCATAAGATCCTGCAAACAATGAGTTCTGTGTGTGCTGTATGATGTTAAGTTTCACGAGGTTATCTCCTACTTGGATACAGGCCTATGGGCTCATATAAAATGCATACACAGTCCTCTGTAAAACTCTCTCTCTCTCTCTCTTTTAACATGTTTTTCCATAAATTGCACTCAAATATACACTCAGAAATTGTAGTCTGAAAAAGCTTTCAATAACGTGAATCTGTAGTAAAAACAATTCTTGTGCAATTTCCACAGTTTTTCACTTGAAGTCTGGGTCCGGGGTTGTCACTGTGCAGACAATAAAATAAAGGGTACTCTCGGAACCATGCCAGCTGTATATTCCGTAATAAAGCTATCAAAACTGCTTTTCTCCTCAGGGATTCGATTTGACAGCAATTCTTATTTCCCAGGGAACACCACGGCAAGAATTTCTGCCCGAGGGTTCTGCTGAACTTCTGTCTTCCCGGCACGCCGGAGCTGGCCGCAGAACCCGTGTTTCACTTCCACGTGTCCTGTGACTGCTAACCTGGCTCAGCGCGGTGGCGTCTGCACTTCCGAAACTTTTCTCCCAATGCAGTTCCTAAGTTGATGCCAAAGAGGCCGCGGCATCGGCGGCTGCCAGCAAAGCACGCATTTCGACCGCGTCGCCGCACCCAATCTTTCTTTTATTTTTAAGAACGAGAGGATGCAACGGGAGCCAACGAACAGGACGGGGAGCGCGGGAAGGGGACCGGGCAAACAAGAAACGGGCAACGGAAGGTGGATAAAGAAAGGCAGCCTGAATCTGTGGCATTTTACAATCACTTCGGGCTGCCACAAAGTGGCTAGCTGTTTCGTTGCCCGGGCGGGGGCAAAAATCTTTGCGGGGCTTTTGTGCAACACACGCACACGGCAGCTTCGAATGAGACACTCCCAGCACCCTCTTTCCCGCTTGTAGGGTAACGCCCGTTCCACTGACGTCAAGAATCTTGTTTGCCACGCACTGCCACAAAGGGCACCGGCGTCCCACCCCCTCCCCGCTCGATTGGTTAGCGAGTGTTCTTCGGAGTTCGGATTTAGAACCCTGGTACAGTATTAAGAGACAGAGGAAGCTGATTGGCTGAGATGCATGTTGTCTGGTCTCTTCAATGGACAAAGGAAACCTCCGCAGAAAGAGCCTGTGAATGACGGGAGACGGCTTGGAAAGAGGCGAAAGTCATCTCCCAGCGCTGCGAAGAGCCCGCCCTGGCGGGTCTCCAGCAGCTTTCGGGACACCCGCGGCCCCAGGGAGAAGAACAAGCGTCAGGTCTGTAAATGACTGAGTTCGCTTGGGGTTTGGGCCGCAGCCTCGATCTGTGGTTGTAAAATTCCAGGTTGGGTAAGCTGGGTCGAGAGAAAGGTTTCCTCTCACAGGTAGAGTGAGAATGATCAGCGCCAGGGCCTCGTAGATAGGAAAGCTCCGTTTATTAAAATAAATTCCTATTAATTTGGTTGCTTAATCATTATTTTTTAAAATATTGCTATTCCTCGGTGAAGTTCAAAATAATTCTGCGTGATGGTAGTAGGTATGGCAGGCAAGGGTGTCTTAGATCAAGCGTTGCGATTCAGTGCCTCGGTAGGTTAATCATTAATTAACATCAGTAAATCGCGAAGGAGCTGAAGTCGGCGTACATATTGGAGAGATCTCTGTAAGGCCGAAAGAGAAAGCGCGCAAGCCCTCCCGGTTCTTGTTGCTCAGCAGGAGTTCGTGCTTAAGTCTTCCAAGAATCCAGCACCCGCTGCCCTGGCCTGTCCCAACAGGCTCAGCACAGGCACGAATACAAGGGCTCACCTATCTAGCCCTTGTGGCAGCAGTTTTTGTTGGCTTGGAAACTGGGACACTTTCTTTTCCCCCTCCTGTTCTCCGGCTAGACCCCGGAGTTGAACAGGATGCCCCGTTAGGATCACCGGGCAGCTCGCAAAACCAGACTGTAGTCAAGATTTGCCAGCGAAGTCCTGCTGGAGTAGCTTGCGTCTCCCCACCCTTTTCCTCCTGGAGCCTGTAATGCCCATCTCTGGAGAAATGACTCACCAAACTTTTGGAAGGCTAACGTTGCTAGACTTGATGAATGGAATTACTGTGAGGTGCAAGAATATAAGCTGGTGCCCCATACCACCCCACCTCTGGCACTCCCAGCCTGGATGGAATGTGCATGCATAGCCACCTGTCACTCTTTTAGCCTGCAGTGTTTTTCATTTAGCTCCTCCCTCCCACAGTGGGGCATACCTGTGTTCTGTAAAAACTGATATGCTATACTCTACTGATCCTTCTCCAAGCTCTGGTGTATTCTGTCATCACTTCAATAATCTGCCATCAGCATGGCTGAGAACTCTTGCTCAGGAGCAGATAATGTAAATGTTCTGTATTTGACTGCCTACAGAAAGGTCCAGGAATCTGTGGCCCTCTATGTGTTCCTAGACTGCAGCTCCTATCATCCCTCATCACTTGCTATGCCAGGGAGGGCTGATGGGAACTGCAGTCCAACAACATCCAGAGGGCCACATTGCTCATTTTTGGCACATAGGGATTGCTGAAAGGCAGGGTTCAGCTATAATACCAGTAAACATAATTCTTCGTGGTGATAGAATCAGTCTTTTGTGTAGCTTCATTCTGGCAGTGGACTGCAAGTCTGGCTGCCTCAGAACAAGATTATGGAATGATCACATCCTCTATACATCCTGGAAAAATACGTCATAAAATGAGAGGGTAGCAGGAGACAATCAGCCCAGAAGATCAATTAATTCTGCTGCTTCATCTCATCCTTGTTTCTCTGTTCCCCCAGAGCTGCCTCCAACGACTGCATGGAGGGAACCTAGCACCATGGGTACTCCAGCCTCTATTGCCAGTGACTTGCCACAGCATCAGACTCCCAAATCCTGCACACGCAAGAGAGCATCAGCCAATATCTTTCACGGGGTGGGGTTATGGCAGTTGCGCCGCCTCTTCCACAGCACCGGGGATGCACAAGCAGAGGAGCGGGCCCAGCTGGTCTGGGAGTGTGCAGAGAATCGGTGCATCACCCAGGCCTTGCAAAAGCTCCACAGAAGGCAGAGAAAGCTAAGGCTCCAGTCGCATCTGAGGCCTCCTTCGAACAAGAGTAGTAGTGCCAGGCTCCTTGAACTACAGCACTTCAGTCGCTTACGGTATGGTCATCACTTTTGTGATGCCACACTGAATTTCAGTTACACCGTCCAGGGATAAACAGTGTTTTGGGCTCCAAGCCTTGTATCTGGTATTGCCAGGGAGCCTCAGCCATACACATGCACATAATACAAATGTATAGAATGATCTTGTCTTAGTAAATAATCATTTCATAACTCCTCCATGTACCACCCCATAATAAAAGGATTGCACTTTATGTAGGGCCTTTCCTTAAAATGCAGTTCAGAAGATGCAATGGTACAGAATGTGGCAGCTAAAATACTTGAAAAAGTTTGGCTTTTATATCAATTTTGCACAAGTTATGCCAGCTGCTGGTTTCTGGACCAAATTTACGATAACTTTAAAAAAGTCATAAAACACTGAGACTAGATTATCTGAACACTGCCTACATCCATGTGAGCATGCCCCAGCATTAAAAGTCATGCCTGAAGCCCTGCCCACCCATTAACTTGATGGCTACAAGAAACAGGGCCTTTTCATGGGTGGCTCTGCACATCTGGAACTCCCTTCTCCCAGAAATATATACAGTCTCATTGCTGCAGGTTAAAAGAGAACACAGCCTACATTTGACTGATGCACCGTGCTTGTAGACAAAATTAGCTGCTGATTCTTAAATCATTTTCTGAAACCAGTACACATTTAGTGAGATGCTGTTTCCCTGAAAATAAGACCTAACCTGAAAATAAGCCCTAGTATGATTTTTCAGGATGCTCCTAATATAAGCCTTACCCCCAAAATAAGCCCTAGTTAAGTTAAACCCTGCTTTCTACCATTGTGCAGCAACCAGAAGATGACATGACTGTAAAACAAAACTTCCCCTGAAAATAAGCCCTAATGCGTTTTTTGGAGCAAAAATTAATATAACACCGTCTTATTTTCTGGGAAACACAGTACTATATGCACAGAATATTTCAGAGTGGGTATCTTGTGACCTGTATATATTTTTGGACCAAAACTCCCAACAGGTTTAACTGATACAACAGTAAGTAATTGTGGGAGTTATATGTACAGAATAAATAAATATACTTACTTTTTCATGATCTGTGTAGGCCTTAGAACAGGCTTGTCCAACCTGCGGCCCGAGGGCCGCATGCGGCCCAGGTCGGCTCATAATGCAGCCCAGTGCAATTTTTTATTTTTAAAGAAATTCCAAAGTTTCAAGTTACACTGCTGGCACTTGCGGCCAGAAAGTGGCTGGGGCATGTCATAATGGTAGGGGGGGAGAGACGGAAGGAAGGAAGGAGCAGGAGGGGAGAGGGGAGCTGCGTGACTGCATTGCGCTGTCCCCGTCAATAGGTGGACCCCCTCCCGGCCCCATAAAGCCACCGGAGTCGAAGCTGGCTGCCTCTGCTATTTGAGATTGCAGCTGCCGGTAAGCGCGCTTGGAGCAGGGCTGCAGAGGATGGCTAGGGCTGCCCCCCCATGCGGCCCAAACCAAATTTATGTGCAGCCCAAACCAAATTTTCATCTTCTAATGTGGCCCAGGGAAGGTGAAAGGTTGGACACCCCTGCCTTAGAACTTATTCTGTCTTTAAAAGAATGCCCCTTTTTATTCTTGAAGTAAGAGTATACAGTACTGTACTTAAGATGGCTAGGTGAGCAGCATGTTGTATTAAATTAATCAAGATGTTGAGTCCAGCACTAATCCTGGGTATGAATTCTCCTGTGGTCATGCTTCCTGGTCTTTAAAAGGACAACACAATGGATTGCATCTCCCCCCCCCCTTTTTTTTTTTTTTGGCCTCTAAAGGAGAAGACATAGTTCAGTTTTTAATAATTCTTTATCTTTTATCCAACAGCATTGAAGATTGCACTACATCTGGTACCGATACTGACAGTAGCAGTAGCAGGAACACAGAGTCTCCAGATCAAACTGGCCATTCCACTGGTCTCCACTATAGGAAGAAAGGGGGAATGGGAGCTGCAGGTTATCTGCACCAGCTCCACCGGTGAGCAACTGAACCTAGGTTTCACGCCTGTACATGTTTAAATGTCAGTATATGGGATGGGGAAAACCTGAAATGAAGGGAGTTCCAACAAGCAAACACAGTTCAGCTCTGCTGTTCAATAATCACTGAGCAGAGAAGAGTATTTCAGATAAAGATTAGTTCTTCGACTTCAAGTTTGCTATTAGACAAATTTGAAACCAGAACCCTCAACCTCAAGCACTACTCCATGTTTCAGTTATTTAGACTTGGCCACAACTTGCTGTGTTAAAGCACAAATACTGTATCTATGGATTGCACATGTTATATTTAATAAAGATTATATATCGTATGTCGAGTCCGTAAGTTGAATTGTTCGCAAGTAGGGTCATTCGTAAGTCGAGACCCCACTGTATATATTCTTTCTTTGAAGGCCCACATGTTTACCTAGTGCAGGACCTTGTTTTCCATAATCAGAGATTTCTGGGAAGCCTGCAAAGGGGAAGTAAACTTAATAAGCCTTTCTTTCTGTTGCTCTGCCAATTAATTTTGAAGTCTATCAGTATTGAACCTAAGTAGATATTCTGGATGCTGATTAGAGGATGAAGACAGGATCAGTAACTGTGTAGGAGAAACAGATCCTGCCTCCACAGCAGTGTAGCCCACTCTAGAATGAGCTGTGTTAGGAAAGAGTCCTAGTTTACTAGGGCAGTGTGTTCAACACAACTAGCTCCATTTAATATGCCTCATCTTCTTACATATGCATTCTAGAATTGAATGCCATCATACAGCAAGCAGGTCTTTACCTGAAAATTTCCATATGAAGCTTCAGTTGCCCCCTCCCACATTTGCAGAAAGCCCACCACAGACTGAATATCCAGCCAAAAAATGCATTCACTTTCTGTACGATTATACACACAAATTACATTGGTGCCCCGCTTGACGATTACCCCACCCCATGATGAATCCGTTTTACGATGAGGTTTTTGCTATTGTAAAACAATGTTTAAATGGGGAAAATTCACTTTACGATGATCGGTTCTCGAAGCAGCGAACCAATTCTTCGCTAAACGACTATTTTAAAACAGCTGACCGGCGGCTCTCAAAATGGCTCCACGCTGTGCAAAATGGCTCCCCGCTGTGTTTAGGACGGATTCCTCACTTAACAGGCACCGGAAAATGGCCACCCTATGGAGGATCTTCGCTGCACGATGAGGTATTTCGCCCACTGGAACGCACTGAACTGGTTTTCAATGCATTTCAATGGGTTTTTTTACTTTCACTTGACGACGATTTCGTTCTACAACGATTTTGCTAAAACGGATTATCGTCGTCAAGCGAGGCACCACTGTACTCTCCTTTCCATACAAGAGTTGGGTCACTCTGGCTGAAACCATGTATGTGTATGCCAGGGATCAGGGAACCTTTTTATCTTTTACCCCCCCAAAAAAAATTATATACACCAACATTACCCTGCCCCCTCCCAGCACTGTCCCTCCACTCTCACCATCCATGGCCAACCCTCTCCCCCCCTGCCTCTGTGCTCACCCGGGACCTGCCACCGCCGCTGCCCAAGCAGCCAGTCTGGAGCCACCACACTGCTGGGAAAGCTGAAGGTGCTGGCAGGCCCACTGGCCATGAGCTCGTGAAGCGGGGCGGGAAGGGGGCCTCCTCATCAGCGCTCGCTCTCCCTGCGACGGAATGCCCGCTTACACACAGTATCGTCGGAAATAAAATGCCTGGGGTAATGAGGAGGGTCATGCTGCCGCAACCATCCTCATTACCCCCAGGATTTTCATTTTTACCCCATTTGGGGTAATTTACCCCTGTTCCCTGACCACTGTTCTATGCCCATGTAAGGTTGAAGATGTCATCAGCAGGGGCAAATTTTCAGAAATCAAACATTGCTCATTTCTTTCCTGAAGTTCCCACAGTTCCTTTTATTGTAAGGAAGCCGTAGAATCTGTGGGTTGGGCGGAGGAGGTCTTCATCAAAAATAGCTGCCACCAGTAAAGTCATCTGATGGAGGCATTTTTTTAGTTGTTAAAGACTTCCTCCTCCCATCATGTAGTTCCCACAGCTTCCCAACAATGGAAAGGATTGCAAAGGAGCCATATGAGCTTCAAGGCAAAAGCTGGACATCTTAATTTCCAAAAAAATTCCCCTTTTCTATCAGTCTTATGCAGGCAGAAGTAATGCAACACTATTTCAGCCTCCAGCTTGTATACAGGCTGTCATTAGATAGAATAGCAGTAAGATATATGCCCCTTCACTTCCCAGACCCAACTGATTTGTCCAAGGAATGGCTCTCATGTTGCCACTTACCAAGTTATTGCTAAGGAAACCAAGCCTCTGGCTGGCAAGAAGTTAAGCTAGTTGACTATCCCACCGTCTCTCTCCAACATTTTAAAATGCCAAGGGTCTACAAGAGTTCTAAGAAGCAACAAGAGAACAGTGCTGGCCATTCCAAAAGAGCACAGTGGCTATAAGATCAAGGCTCTACTGAATGTTTAGCATCCAATGTATTTACATACCTATCCATATACAGCCCCATGGGAGAACCAATGAAACTTTGCCTCACTGCAGGCCTAGCTCCCTCATGCAAGATTGTGATTTGGCACAACCAGCTACATATTTGGTGTAGAAGTTGAGCAGATTATTTTCAATCATCAGATAGATTTAATGCTGCCAGAACACAATGTGAATATTAACAGGCCAGGGCAATTGTAATCAGTATATGAAATATCACTTCCAAGCAGGAGTATCCATGCCAACTGGTCCTGTTACATGATTCAGTCTCCTAACAGCTATAAAAGCAAGCAGGAGGTGGGTTCTGTGTCAGAAGAAGGCCCCTGGCACAGGCCAATGACCACTGCCAAGCTTTACAATAAAAAGAAAATATTGAGAAAGAGGGACATTCAACCAGAGTGTGTGCCACAAACTAAACCAGGTTTGGGGAACACTGACCTCAGAGGCATTGGACGGTAATGCTCATAATCTCTCTTCACCATTCCCTAAGCTTGCTGAGGCTGAACAAGGGAACTCTTACCAATGTCTCGATTGATGGCCACATTCTCCCCATGTCTGATCCACAGCTACTGGATGGGATGCCCCCTCCACAGATGGGTTGGATTGTGACTCCCATCACTTCCTATCCAGCACAATGCCTGCCATTCAACTGAGGTTGGTGGAATTTGTAATCCAACACTTCTAGAGGATGCTGGGTTGGAGAAGACTGGCCTGTTCTCAGAGGGAGGGTTCAAGTAGCGCAGTGAGCAGAAAGCAGTTGTACACAGAAGCGGAATTGCAAGTAGCAGCACTATTGCAGTAGGGGAACGGGTGCGGTATGGGGTGGGGATCAAGGTTTCAGTTCATGGTAACTAGCAAACACAAAAACACACAAGAGACTGCAATTGCAGACCTGTTATGAAGATACTTGCATTGATTTAAATATATTACATACATTTCTACAGTGCATAAGAACGATACATTTCAGTTCAGGCTGGCAAAAAGGAAAAGTTTCTCCTAGTGCCAAGTACAGCAGCTTCAGGCTGGCACCTCAGGCATAGAGCAGGGAATTGTCTCTCCAACCAGGGACTTCCAGAGAAGGCAGGCTCCACATACAGGGTGCTCAGGTTCCTACTTGGAACAGGAGGGAAGCTGGGCTCAACTTGGCACAAGACTTCTCACAGGCTTGGACATCAACCATGCCAGCAGCACTCAAGGAGAAACCAGAACACTTTGACTGACAGCTTCAAACAGGACGTTCTTGTTGCCAGGGATTTAGCATGGCTGTCTCTACCAAAACAGCCTTCATCATACTGTCCCACTGTATACGAGGCAAAACCTCAATATGGTAGTGATCCTGAAAGCAGGACTTCCCCTTAGAGGTCTGCAGACAATGTATGAAGGAGATCTGCCCCATGCCAGAAGGCAGCGGCGCCCCACAGAGAACCTTTCCCTCCCCGATTGTCAATGCTTGTACAGAACTCAAAAGAGGAGGCTGCCACCTCAGCAGAAGTGAGACAAAGCTGCCTCTTAACTGTACTCTCTCTTCTGTCCCCCATCCCCAGTTCCACATTTCTAGAGAGAAAAAGATAGTATTAGTCAGTCTGGGAACCTTATTTAGTGGCTGTGAAACAGTAGCCCAAGGTAGCAGTGGTAGGATATATAGTCTTCCCCGTACATATTCTGGGACTATGCAGAGCATAAGAGTATGTGCATGTGGATGAAGAAATTAAAACCAAATTAAAATCTTCTATTTGAGGCCTTTCCTCCCTGCTGGCTGAAGCAAGGGAAGCTGAGCAGTTATACTCACCGACCCTATAGCTCCTTTGCAGAGTCCATCTGCCCCTAGCATCTATGACTATTCCAAAGCAGACAAAAGCTGCTCTGGCCCAATCCTAAAACTTTGCCCCTCTAGCCCAACTTGAGATTTCCCCCAGGAGCAGCCGGTGATGGCCATGCCCCACCCCCACCCAAAACCAGCACTAAGAACACCTCCATAGGGCCAAAGGTAATAGAGCAAGCCTAGTGGGCAAGAAGGCCCTCTTTGTTTAGAGGAGCAACAAGAGGAGGAAAGAGACTCAAGGCTGACATTTGCACACAGAGCAAGAGCACTTCTATCCAACTCTGAGCATCCTCTTGTCCCCAGCTTGCCTGGGCAGAGGACACTGTATTCTCACCCCAGATGGATACGAAAGGGATGGCTTGAAACCAAAAGGATGCTGCATGCAGGCACCTACTGGAAGAGGTTGCCATGCTCAGGCCGGGGAGCAGCCTCTCCAGCCCACAGCGAGAGGGGAGGAGCAGTCAATCTAAAGAAGGACCTTCCCTTGCTGCTGGGAATGTGCAGAGTTGAGGCTGACTGGAGCACCTGCTTACACCTCGTCCGCTGGCTGCATCAGGGCTGGTTCAGCCTGGAGGATTGGTTGCCCGCAGTCAAGTGATACTCTCCTACCCCCTCAGGTTCCTTGATGAGTACGGAGACAACTGCTACCACCAGGAAAAGAAGGGCTTGCGACTCTGGAAGCTTTGTGTGTATGATTCAATGGTGGAACGCTGATGGGAGCGTGCTGTCTCCACAATGACGGGTGGCATCTGGACCAGGTGAAGGGGGCTCTTCCCATCTTTCAAGGCTTGTGTCAAGTTCAGGATCTAAGGAACAAAACAAAAGAACTGAGTGCCAGGATACTACAGATACCAAGCTATAAATCAGACCAAAAATATACCCATGCACAGCATAGGTCCCATCCCTCTGGAAGGACCATGTAACATACCTGACCACGCATGACAGCAATCTGCTTGTGAAACTGCCCCCGGTCAAAACCTGGATCCCTCTATGAAAAAAACAGTAGGAGGTGCATAAGCCCAATTAGAACAAGTGTTGAGCTGGGTCCCTGCGCTTCTTAGGTCCTTATAATGTGCACAATCCCACACTCCATCACCCCCATGATATCCCACATACTTAATTTGTTCAGAAGCAAAAGTAATTATATAAAAAATAAACTTGCCCTGCTGCTTGTGGGTACCTTGAAAAGTTCATAGAGATCTTCTTCCAGATCCTTGACAAAATTGGGGTCTGAAATCTTTGGCAAAATTAGGTCCTTGATCTCCTGGGAGAAGGGCACCTTGGCCTGAGGCAGCCACGCCCAGTAGAAAGGGTCTGCAGGCAGGGAAACAGAAGGCAAATATTAAACTCCCTCACTGGGCGTATTCATGAGGGTAGAAAGCCAGTGGGAACATAGGATCAGCCTCTGAACATGCTGGGCCCTTGGAGAATAGTCCCCAGGCCAGGAGAGAAACACTTGTTGTGAACCTGCTCGGGGGGCACTTACATGCTCTCCAAGAGTCTGGGTGCTTGAGAGGGAAAGCCAGGCCATTGTCAATGGCAGCCAGTTTAATGACAGGCTCCTTCACCACAACCCATTCCGAGTCCTGCAGAAAAAGGGAACAATGTTCAGCTGGGAAAAGGCTCCCTGCAATCACTCTGCACAAGCTGAAGTAGGGGACAGTTCCAAAAGAGTCACAGACCTCAAGTCAATGCAGCTGGCCCTGACCATCCCACAAGGCTCCCTGACCTGCTCCTCCCTCCCTCCAATTCTCTCCACTTCTTTTTTGCTGAAATCTAAAGGAAGGCCATACTCTGTTAGGATGCAGAAGCAGTATCTTGGTAATAGCACCCCCTTCTTCCCCACTTGCCCCCTACAAGCCTCGTTGTCAGGTTACCAGCAAGCACATTTCCTTCATTCACTGGCAAAGTGCTCAGCAGAACCTGGACTCTCCATGTCTTTGCACTAAAGTAGACAATGAAAGCCATATTTCTACATTCACCCCTCATAACCACTGCATGGATTCAGGCAATGTAAGAAAAGACTTTCAACTGACATACAGTGGCTAAAATCCTACTATGTTTTAATGTCAATAGAATGTGATCACTCAGTGGAAGTCTCAGCAGAGAGTTGCTGTAACTTAAGAAGTCAGCATAGGTATTTGCTGTTGCATACCAAATCATGCAACTTAGTATGCAACAAGTGCTTACACTGACTTCTGAACTTGGAAGACATTTGCCACACAGATTGACAATGACTATGTTACACAATCATCCATATCTGATACAGTTTTGGCTGCTATATTGCAGCATGGTCTGCCCTGTGCCTAACAAACGCGGGTCTAACAGCTGTGAGGCAGGACAATGTATTTAAAGGACACTGCATGCAACAGATCCTTGCCAGGCTTTTAGTATCTCCTGTTGCACAACATGCTATGAGCTTCATGTGCAACTCTCAGAGCAACCTGACCTGGGACTCCACTTACCCGCACATTTGTGCTGTCCAACGGGCAGTCATATTTGATCAGCCAGTTGTCATTACCCCGATCTGCAGAGAAACACACACACACTAATCAAACTCCCCTCCAAGTAACTCAGCATTGATAGTAACTTAACCCAACACACTGCTGAAGATACAAGGAGACCAGAGAAATCCCATTGCTGGAATTTGTAACCTGGCAGTTTTACCAATGTTGCAGTCACTCATCCTCTAGCACAGGGTTGGGGATGGGGAAGTCTATCTTGTTATGGCTGCTCCTGGTTTGCCTTGTCAGAAGAAAAAGTGGTTTGATAGAAAACACAAAGGTCCCTGCTCGTCTTCTTAAAGATGAGTGGAGAATGGAGAGACTACATTGTCAGCCTGGGAAGGGGATCTATGGCCTTCAAAGGAACTTGACTCTTCTTAAGCCCCATGAAGACTCGGGGACAGAGTAACTGCTTGTGAATACTACAGCACTTTGAGCTGGACCCTCAAACCAATGTACTCTAAGCTATTTACCTTACTGCAGACGCATTATTTATCTCAACAGCTGAGGGGTATCATCACAATGTTACATGAGACAGCAACTCACTACTGGCATACTGGCATGCAAGAGGGACCAGATTATCTGGCATCTCCAGGCAAGGCTGGAAAAAAAGTAAACAAACAAAAAACTTTCCCAGGTTTTGAGCTGGATGGGCCAACAGCTTAACCCATGGTTGTTAGGAAATTTCCTCTTAGTTAATACTGGGCACATAGCCAAGGGAATTTCTGAATTTGCATGCCAGGAAATATTCCCTAAGCCAAAGAACATTCAGAATGTCAAAGGACCCCCACCTCCCCCCACAATGCTAACTGTCCTTTGCAAAAAAAAGAGATGCTTCTCCTACCGGTTCCCTCAAGTCAGCACCTCCTCCCCCCCCCCGCCACCAGGGCCACGAGCTAGCACAGAGCTTACCAGTGTTGCGAATGATATAGTCTAGTACCACTAGTCTCTCAAACTGCAGTAGCAACTGGCGGTTAGTGTTCTCTGGGAGAGGCTCTGCTTCAAAGCGACGCAGCCAGAAATCTGCATCTTTATAGCCTTCCACAAAGAGCTGGAAGGAGCCCACCTGAGAGCAAGAAGCAGGCAGGTTAAACAGAAAGAGATATGGCAAAGTGGCGCCCGGCACCCCACTGGGCCTCACAAACCTGTCCTACCTTTGGAGGAAGCCCAATTCGATGAAATCTCTGCCCAACCTTTGGCACTTTTTCCAGGGCCAGGCGTTTACCCCGGGACTTCACTCTATCGATGGCGCTGTAGTTAAACGTTTCACTGGCCAAATATACCACCTATAGACGTAGGGAAAGAGATGACTCAAAGGCTGAATTTATAAGCACTTCATAGTCTTCTCTCTCTTAATATACAACAATCTGCAGAAAAAGGTTGCATTGCATAAATCTAGGCATATCCAGACCTGTCCACCTTTCACAAGTTCTACACCATTTATTATTATCTAGGGTGAAAGATAGATGTCCTGGAAAAGCATAAAGACAGTGGGAGGAGATTAAAAACCAATGTTACATTCTCATCTTCTAACAGCTCTGTTTAAAAAAGGAAGAGGCAATGTTTGAAAATACATCCAACATTCAGTCCTTACGCCTACAGTTTCTACCCCACCATCTCTGTAGTGGCTTCCTTCTGTTTTCTCTTCTGCTGCGTGCAGCTTCTATCCAAGGTATTTGCAAAAAAAATATGGAAGTCAGAATCAGAAAGTGCACTGAGCACATTGCCAAAAAAATCCCAAAAAAGCAACCTGATATGCTTCAGTAATGTGCACAATTCCAGACATATTTTTTTAATAAACGTAATCTCAATTGCCTGTTGCTCAGTATATGCATGTGCAGAGAGGTGCATGTATTTTCTGCTTTCACCCCAAAGCAAAATATAAAGCTAAAAATCTTTCCTGAATTAGGATTAAAGTTTGTGAATACATTTTATAGGGATCTAACTGCTGGAATAGAAAGCAAGGGTGAGAGCTGGACTGAAAGGACAGATGAAAGGGCAAAGTCTAGAGTTTGGACCAAGCAGGCAATCTCATGTAGCAAAGTTGGTGAACTTGGGATCCTCTGGGTGTTCCCCCACCCACACATTCTAAATCCCATTAGCCACAGTCAGCATGACTAGAGATGACTGGAATTGGGAGGGCTACTGATTCAGTCATGCGGGGGGGGGGGGGGAGAACAGCTTTTTTTCAGGTCTTCTTATTCAATATTATCTCCTATCTGAGGCTCACCTTTGTGCAGGGAACAATGTTGAGTTCCAACTTCTGGTCAACGAGGCTAGCACCTGCCTCAGACAAATATCCTTGGTTGAGAACAAGACAGTCTCTTCCAAAACAGCACGGGCAGCAAAGTTTTTGCAGCCATTTTGTCCACTTTGGGTTCAGCTGTCCGTAGGGTTCTTCGTTCTTGGGTTTGAACACGCCAATAATTTTCTGACAGGGACAGAAGATGGATGTTGATTAACACAAGTTGGACCAGCCAAAAATTAGCACACAAACACAAACCCCTCAATTTGGCACTGTACCCAGTTCTTGACAAACAATCATATAATCATGGCAGCAGAAAAGAGTCAAAAGCCTTCCCCCAGGAAAGGGTCAAATGTGTTCACAACAATAGATCTGGTGCCACAGTGCTCAAGATCAGCAATATGCCTTTTCATATTAAAGATTCCGGCAGCAAAGCTGAGCACACTTTCTCTGGCCCAGCGCACTACTTAGAATAATCCGTTCTTAGATCAAATACTTTCTAGATCAGCCATTTGGAAGAGATGAACCTGTGTGTAAAATGGCCAGCATGATTAGACAGGAAAGCAGACTTCCTTCCAGCTCCTGGGACTAGTGAAACTGCCTTCAATAGTTTATAATGACATATGAAGGCCTCACCACTTAGGAGTGGGGTAGGAAGTTTTGCTTCCCATTTCTGCCTGAGGAAAGCAACCAGACTCAGGAAACAAGAGTGGCTGTAGGGTCTGCAAAACTCCTCTATCCACAAAGCAATCAAATGGTAAGTCCAGCTACTGACTGTTTTCCATCAAAAAGCAATGCTTCTTTCCATCATTTGATGTCTGGTGTCCTTCCAAACTTACTCTCCCTCATCCACCAAGGACAGTAATCTCTTCAGCAAGGAAGCACAGAGAGAAACTACAACAGCCTTTCCAGTTATAACTCCTTTTGGATTCCCTGGGATCCTATTCTTAAATCTCACGGAGAGACTGCTCTGCCATTCTCTATGGCAGCTAGTGAAAACTTAAGCCAAGCAGCCACTACTTCCTATAATTGGCATGACTCTTGCAAGTTGTTGCTTAGTCATGTGCTAAAGAACCAGGGAATCCCAGAAAGGAAGTAGAGCATCAAAAATACCATTTTAAGGCACTTCCCACCTAACTCTCATCACTTTATAAGCCTGCTGGTGTGAGATCAGAACTGGGTTGCTTTAACTAAGAGTAGAGGCACATCACTGGAGGGAAAACTAACTAATTTCATCTTTGCAAAAAATAGATGGGCGATGTGAGACACACACACCCCCGAGGCTTCTTGCACAGCCTATGGACACATCGGGCTCCAGCAGCAGCACCCCCCTTTAAAAACAACAACAGGAAAAAGGTGAATTGCCATCCCTGGAAACCTCCTTCTAAACAGCTTGCAGGGACCTCCTGCAGTGCACAAAACAAAAATAAAAATAAAAGCAAAAGTATTGTGGCCCTTTAAAGACTAATAAAATTATTTCAGTGTGAGCTTTTATAGATGATAATCCATGATACTTTATTTATACTTTGTGTTTCATTTTTGTGTTATATCCTGAAGCAGACTGACATGGCTACCTCTCTGAAGAAACTACCAGTTTTTCAAAATCACAACTAGACTTCCACTTTTCTTTCCATTTTTTCACATGGGATGGGGTTGTGTGCATGTTCTGAAAGATTTTGTAGTCAGGAAAATCACCTCTACCAAGTTGCCCGTCTGTAAAGGTATCATACAAGTTCTATATATGCAATACGCAAAGTGTGGCCCTCTGGATGATTTTGGATTGTAACTTCTATCTAAAGTGTTGGTTTTAACCTATAAAGCCCTAAATGGCCTGGGTCCAATCTATCTCAAAGACCGTATCTGTCACTATGAGCGAGCTCATGTGTTAAGATCATCAGAGAAGGAAGGCCCTCTCCTGTGTTCCCATCAGATGCACCTGTGAAGGTGGTGGGACGAAGAGAAAGGCCATTGGTCTAGAAGAGAGACTGCCTTTCATCATGTCTGCATACCTAGGTTAAGAAGTCCTGAAGCACTGTTTACCTTGTACTGCCTCATCTCTCTAATTGTCACAAAATATGCTGAGAGCTCTCTATCTCCTCCCTGGGCATCTGAACAGCTGAGAAAACTGGGTCTTCCACCTTGTCAAATCATTGCTGAGATGATGCTGGCTAAATCTTCTCTCTCTTAGCCATGGAATCATGAGTCATTCTGTGCTAAACCAACTTCCTATAAATTTATTAGATGACAACTTCCATTATTCCCAGTCAGCAAGGTCCAGGGACTGGGAGTTGTGGTCTAACACAGTGGTCCCCAACCTTGGGCCTCCAGAGGTTCTTAGACTTCAACTCCCAGAAATCCTGGTCAGCAGAGGTGGTGGTGAAGGCTTCTGGGAGTTGTAATCCAAGAACATCTGGAGGCCCAAGTTAGGGACCACTGGTCTAACGTATCTCAAGGGCCCCATTCTACAGGCAGTCTGCTCTAACTCACAGGATGATGAAGACAAAGAAGCTCCATTCCTGCTAGTGGAAAGGCAGAGTCAACAACATAACTTCTGTTTGACACGCACAGTAAATGTACTCATACTGGTACACCAGCTTATTCCTCCAGCCAGCCACCCCTGCCATAGGCACCCAAAGTCTCTCACTGGAAACAGCTAACAATAGATACTAAGAAATAATTTTCAATGCTCTCCCTGCAACCGCTTTTCAGGAGTCATAAACCACTATATCACCACTGGGAGATATAGTAATGCTGCATCAGTCCATCTACCTAAGGCAGCAGCACAAAGGCCAGTCTGACTCATCATCCCAGCAGCATCACCCAGGAGCCTAGCTAAGAGAGAAGTGAATTCAAAGCTACAGCTAGACAAGAGAGTCTGGACGGCCAGCAGAAGAAAGAGAAGGTCTGTAAATGAAACACAATTTCATGCTATCATCACACAAGATTTTTTAAAAAAGGAAGCTGAATTCATCCGGTTAGTTATAGTGATCACAAGTAAAGCCACGCGACCCTGCACACAGTCAGCTCTTAGATGGGTGTGGAGAATGCATTGCAGCTGACTGGACACACATCACTTGCCCCTCCACTTCCTCCTAGACTGTAAGGGCTCTTTTCCCATTACTTTAAAAGCACTATGAAGGCACTCATAGCCAAACACAAACGAAGATCCCTAAATCTATACAGGAGAGATGAAAATAATAATCTGAAATCCCCTCAAAAGAAAAAAAAGCCTTGGAAATATTCACCAGGAAAACAGACTACAACCTCAGAACTGGAACACAAGGCAAACAATCTAACAAGTCTCTTTCCATACAATAGACAATCCTATGCTTTCCAAACATTCTGGACTACTGATCCCAGGATCTTATTGGCCCTGCTGACTGGAGTTGAAGGAACTTAATCCATCATAGCTTGATGGCACCAGGATAAGCTGCACCCTTCTCCCATGGCACTTACAAGCATGATTGTATAAACTTCATCTGCCCTAATACATTTATCCAAACCTGCTTTTTAAAATTTCAAGCGAGACCAGTTCAAAGGTTTCTTCAGAGAATCTGTTCCCTTACCACATCCTCTTAGTGCTCGGACGGTTTAATCACCTAGATCAACACAATTTAATCCCATATTCTCTTTTCTTTGGTTTAGAGAATAACTTAAATAATTTCCATGAAGCTAGATTTTGAAAGAAAATAATTAAATGTCTAAATTAGTAGCCACCAACAATTGTTACATTGAAGATTTTCAAGAAGAACCTACAATGTTGTTTGATCAGTTTAGGTAAATATTAGCACTGGGAGCCTGAAATTCTTCAAAGTAAAGGGCAAAGGGAGAACAAGTCATCTGAAATTTGTAAAATGTGACATTCTCAATGTTTTTCTACAAAGAAGACATGTCTGGCTCTTTCAGTTTTCCTTCCTAAAAGAATCCTCACTACCCCAAGATCTTGCCAGATTCCACAGATTTTAAAACATCAAAGAGGGGCCAAAAGAACAAAATGATTCAGAGAGCTAGCCAGCTCTATTTGAAACACCCAGAAGTTCAAGGACCACATGATTAGGAAGGGAAGTTCAACAGCTGCTCTCAGAAGCAGACAACTATTCTCCTCCAGAGATTATCTGCTTGGTAAGCGCACAGGTCTTGCAAGTGCACAAAGAACTTCAAATGAATTACCAGGCCATAGATCTAATGGGCTCATATTCAAATTAGACAGGTTTCATGTGCGGTTTGTAAAATGGGGCCATAAGATAGCCGGATAGCTCAGTGAGTTAGGTATCTGGCTGCAGAGACAGAGTTTGATTTTCCACTGTGATTCCTGGGAAAAGTACCAGCCTATATGGCTTTGGGCAAGCTACACAATCCCAAGTTGGCTTTAGAAGAAGAGAATGACAAACCACTTCTGAGCATTCTATACCTAAAAACCCTGAAAAGGGTCATCATGTCAGAACTGACTTGCTGGCACACATTATTTAAGAAGCATTAACCAGGTAACATGGTTAAGCTGCATACTCACACTAAGTAATAGTAGAGAGACTCTATTCCAGTCTCAACTAACAATGGGTAACAGTGAAGAATACATCATGTCCATCCAGAGCATACCTAATTGCCCCAGTATCTTGTGACTATCTAATGTCATTCTGTATGTTTTCCGGTACAAGGGCTATGTGGTACATGTTAGATTTCCCAAGTAGCAATATGAGATACTGTAGGTCAATGACACCATCTGCTCTAAAGGCCAAAAACCACAGACCCAGGCATACAGCAACTCAGTATGAAGACAAGAAACAAATGACAAGACTGGCTGACAATCTGCAGATACCTCACCCCAACCAATAAGTTAACAAGTCTACTTGGTGGGGATAGTACTTGACACCAGACTGCCATAGAAAAGTTATTAAGTAGACGAATGTCTGAAAACAGACAACGTACACATTCCAAGTCACTTTACCCAACTAAGAAAGGCATTTCAAGCCGAGCATAATTGTGCTTCCTCGTTGGACAAGTAGGACCTAAATTTTATGTTTTGCATAGAAAGTCTCTTGATACCACAATATTATGTTTACAGTCTCTGGGAATGCAATATGCAAAGCCATCATTAGTGATGAACATTTTCTGCTTCTTATACTTATTTCATAAAGGCCATCACAGTGCCCATTTATACTTCTTACTACAGTCTTACCATTTGTTCCATTAGCAAGACCTACACTTGCTGTCAATGACACAATTGACAGATCATCTGTATTTTATGCAGTTGCAACTGTATGTATCCCAGAATGAAAACCCATGAAGAACAGGGATAAAGTAATGGGGTGAGAAAGGTCTAGCCCAGGGCATAACAGAATGAGAGAAGGTGAGGGGCTGAAACAAAGATGACATCTGATGGCAGTTAACTTAGTCCTGTTGTTTGCCTGGCAGAGAAGTGGCCAGTGAGGGGATACATATAAAACATAATAAAAGGTACATTTATTTATATACTGCTTTCAAATATGAAAGCTATAGCTCTTACAACAACCTGTCAGTCAGGGTAACTATTACCTCCTCCCCAATACTGCAGGTGGGGGGGGCATTGAGGCGAAAGCCCAATGGGTTGCCATTTAAACCACCCCGCGACGCCATGGTAGGGCCAGAATTCGAACTGGGGCCTTTCAGATTCGTTCCTTTGCTGAGACACTACAGAGCAGCACAAGGCGACTGCATGCCAACAAGACCTATCTGACTAAAGAGCCGACTCCCCGATCCCACGCATATTGCCCAGCCATGTTTCCCAACTCTCCAGCACCCCTGCCCTAAATGCTCTTCCCCGGAGCCTGGATCTCTCACCCCCTGCGGATCCTTGACGAAATAGCTGCCGCTAGAGCCCTGGTAGATCCGCTCAGGGTAGATGCCACGTTCGCTCGCCAACTCTGCCTGTCGCACCACCTCGGCGAATTCTGGGTCATCGGGGAATTCATTGCGAGGCTCCCGCTCACCGCGGACCACGGCGGCCGCTGTCCCGGACCCAGCCTGAGGCTGGATGGGGGCCGCCCCGGCTGTCCCTACAGCCCCTCGAGTCCCGCGCTCCGCACCTGCGCCCCGATCCAGCAGAGGCTGGCGCTCCCGGTCGCGGCCACCTGTGGGGGAACTCGGAGGGGAAGGACAGGGGCAAGGTCCGGAGGGGATGCTGGGAGCGGCGGGGCAGGGCGGAGAGCGCACGGCACCTCCGGGCAGGCCATATCCCGGGGCCGGACCGCGCTCCGGAGACACCAAGGGGCTCGTCTCATCCATAGGCTGAATCGGACCACAGCGCGACTCAAACCCGGTGGGCACTGGCGCACGCAAACAAGGGCCCCGCGCTCCCCGGCTCGGGACTGCTCAGTTCAGATCACCTGACACCGGCCCGGCGGCCACCGCCGTTTCCGCCAGAGCAACTCCAGCCAATCACAGTGAAGCCACCACCCCCTGTTTACAGGGTGCCCGGAAGCCACGCCCGCTCAAGGGGCCGCGAGCCACTCGCAGAGCTCGTTCTGTCCAAGTCCCGAAAGCCCCACCCAGCGGCTTTCATGGCCTCTCCCCTTCATTGTGTCGAGCGGTGTCTCCCCCTGCAGAGCCAAGTCATGCACGTTGAAGGAAGTTAGCGTAGGCAGATTCCCACTCCTTGCGTGTAAAATTTGTGCTTTCTCAGTAGGCCCCTCTGCTCCACTAACCGGCGCTTCCTCTGCTTCGAGAGTACAGTCCTGGCCTTCACTCAGTCTTTCCGTTGTACCATTATTCCCTTTGCTAGAGATCGCATTCCGCCCCGTTGCAAAGACACGCCCACGTGTACCGCACTGAGCCTTCTTCAGCATGCTGGACGTTTCCTCCGCGGCACTGTCAACATCTCTCACCGGTACGCTCATGTGCATAACATTAATTTGCTGTCCTACGCGTTCTCGATAAGCATCTCTCAGCGGACCATTTCTTCCAAAGAAAGAACATTACTGTATATATCCTACTGCAAAGCCTTAGCAAACCCTTTGGCACTACAGTACAGTACGTTGTTTCGAAAGGGCAGCTTGGCTATCCCACCCCTCTTAAGATCCTGGGATCCTGTAAACTTCTAGCAGAAGTAGCAGCAAATCCTATGGCCCTTACAGACCAATGTCATGTATAGACAAAAAAAAAAAAAGCTTTCCTTTAAGCCAAAGTTACACAGCTCATGAAATTCTTGCCCCCGATGCACCTTCTTAGCTTTCCGTATCTTATCTTTCTGAGGTGGGCAATGTAGCAATAAAGGGCAGTAAAGATTAGGTTACACCCCTGATATATGCAAGGTCTGGTTTCTGGGAACTCCCCAGGCAACTCAGTTTCACCAAAAATATGTACAACAAACAAATGGTACTGCTGCTGAATGGCAGAGATATTAGAAAGCCATCCCCATTTGTTCATTTCTCTGACAAATTGAACTTTAGGCAATCTGCTGCTTTCCTCTTTGCTTTGCCATTCTAAAGTAACTGGGGCTCTAATCACCCAATTTAGCCTGCACCAACCCAGTACAAAAGGACTTGTGTAGACAAGCCCTAAGTCTCATTAATTCAATGGGTCTATCCCACCTGGAACTAAAAACTGGATTTAAACCATTCTACAAAACCAGAAGGACAGATCCTGAAGCTGAGGTTCCAATATTTTGGCCATCTCATGAGAACAGAACACTCCCTGGAAAAGACCCTGATGTTGGGAAAGTGTGAAGGCAAGAGGAGAAGGGGACATCAGTGGATGAGATGGTTGGACAGTGTCATCGAAGCTACCAACATGAATTTGACCCAACTCCGGGAGGCAGTGGAAGACAGGAGGGCCTGGCATGCTCTGGTTCATGGGGTCACGAAGAGTCGGACATGACTTAACAACTAAACAATAACAACAACAACAAAATCAGAATGCTATCAAATACAAATTCCATACTAATTGAAGACCTCCTGAAAAAGTACATCTCTTGAATTATTTTCTTTTATATCTGGTTTGTTATGTTGAGATAACCAATGTGGTGTACTGGTTGACAAGACTCAGGAGACCAGGGTTTGAATCCCTCCCTCCCTTTGCAATAGAATTCATTTGAGGGCACTTGTAAAACTATCTCTAGGATATTTCACCTTGAAACTCCTGTAAAAAAATTTTTGTTGTTCTTTTTTGTCCTTGCTGAAACAGATTAACACTATCTCTCTGGAAACATTTTAAATTTCTAACTCCTTTGCTTGGTTACATCAAACTTGTATGAACTTGGAATAAAATACCACTTAATCAGTAGTAGAGATGTGGTTTAAAGTCTCTCTTCTTTAAGGTTCTGTTTGAATAATGGTGCCTGAATAACAAACCTTACTGCCCAGAATTTGGAGCATGGGTATAACAGTAAAACAATAAAAAAGAGATTCAAACCAACAAAATTACACATTCTATTTTTATTATTTAAATGCTTTCAGAATTACCTCGCTATCGTTCAAATTCTCCCCTCCACACACACACACACACATCGCTATTGTCTTAACTGCTCGTTCCACTACCTTGAATTACGTATTTCGAGACCCGCAACAGACCCTGCCCTCAGAAGAAAGTGGTAATGTATATAGGAGACTCTCAACATGGCAGCCTTTCGACACCCATAGAAAGTGGGGGGGAAAGTATTTCTTTTGCCCCTCACAAATATGGCTGCACTGTACAAAATGTCCGTGCCCTTCCCAAAGACGGCTGCTGAGGTAAAGGAGGGGGAAATCAAAGCAGAGCCAGAAGGCTAGGCAATAGAGAGCCGTGTTACTCCTGGTTGCTAAGGTAACAGCCAACGGCGTGAGGGGATGGTTCCCGGTGGGCGGTTGCCCGCGGCGGTGGTGACTGCGGTGGGAAGCCTGGCATAACTGGCGGAGGGGACTGACGGACTGACGGACGGAGGGAGGCGGTGGCCGATGGGGGGAAAGCAAACGGCTGTGGGGCTCGTGGCAGCTGCTGAGACGCTTGGAGCGCAGGTGAGGGGCGCGGTCGTGGAGGGTGCCGCGACGACGTGCTGATAGGAAGCGACCCGGGGATTCCCGTGGCTGGCTGGGTGCCGCCTTGAACCTTCCGGGAGGCGGGGAGGGAGGGGTGGCGGTGAAAGAAAGCTTTGGCGACAAGGGAGGGGATGCCTCTGAGAAAAGTAGCCGGGCGTGTCATGTCGGGGCTGAAGCGGTGGTCAGGAGGAGTCGTAGCGCCGTCATCTCTTCGCCGGAGGGGTGTGGTTTCGGGCTGCATGGCGTGACTTCGGGAGGATGCTGTGAAGGCGTGATTTCGACTGCCCAGGTGTGTGAGGGAGACCGGCCCGCCGCGATTGGAGTGCGGTACTGTATTGTGAGGGACGCGACGGGGAGGGGGGGTAAGCGAGGTCTTGGGGTGAAGTGGGGTTCCGTGAGTGGGCGTCGGTGTAGTGAGTGACTCGGGGAACTCAGCCGTAGGCATCGGAACGCAGTGCTCTTTTGTAGCTTCCCTGTTGATTGAATCGTATTTCCTTTGATGGAAGCCACTGTTTCCCCCTATTGCCCATCCCTCCCTCTTAAGGGCCGTGATGGTTCTGCCTCCTTCTTCTGGTTGCAGAGTGGGTGCGGTTGTCCTCATGGCTCTGAGAAACTGCTAGGATTGTCCTCTGCTGATATGCAGCCGCGGTTGCTCTGCTCTGGTGGTCTGTTGTAACTGTTTGGAAGGAAGCAAATGTACTGTAGTCAATTGTGTGGTCTCTTGTGTGGGTGGGCAGATGAGGCAAGTAGATCTCCTTCTACTTAGTCCTGCACCCAGCACTTCTCATTAGACAAAAGATTATCTTTTATGTTCCTGTTCAGAAGACAACTAAATGTGTCATTTTCATGACAATGACACTTAAAGTTTGAAATTTGGGCATATTCACCTGAATACTTCCAGTGTTCACATGAAGACTATTTGTAAGAAGGAGGGAGGGAGGGAGAGAGCCATCCCTCCCGCCAACTGCTGAGAAAGAGAGCCAGACCCCACCAGTTCCCCCACCCCGGAAGACGAGACCTCCTGGACATGACGCGGGGAATTTGGAGGGAAATTTTAAAGGACTTATGATTGCAGAACCCGGGACTACTTTGGCGGGTGCAGGAGAAAAAAGGCAGGAGATAGTGGAGGCGGGAGATATAAGGAAGGGGGAAGGAGAGTTGCCAGTAGGCTGGGAGTGGATCTGGGTAGAAGATCCATGCACTGGAAAGACGGAGAAATTGTGGGTCCCCAAGGAAGAAGCAGACGTGCAGAGGTGGCATGAGTTAAGCCCCAAACCTTCACTAAGGGGTGGAGGAGGATGCTGAGAGAGGAAAGAGAGTTGAAAGAGAACGAAGGGAAAGGCTAGAATGGAAGATTTGGGAGAATCAACAAAGGGGATTCCTGGAGTCCCGTGGGAGACAGGGGAACCCCCCAGGGAGTGTGACTGGGTAGACGTTCAAGAGGAAGACACAATCCCCCTACTGGAAGGAGAGGCGGGACTATTACTGAATGCTGACACCCCACCCGAGTGGCCTGGGCCCTGGAATAGCCAGGGTAAAACCCTTTCAAAATAGATGATTGGAACCCCCCTTCAGACCCATTGTCAAAAGGGGAGAATGTTTGGAATGCTTTTGTTGACACTGGACTGTTGTTGAATACCCCAATAAATGTTACCCCCATTTCTAAACCGAAGAGAGTGGGTGCATTCATTGACAAAGTGTTGGAGCAAAATATTGAACCCTCACACTATTACTAACAAATTTAAAACTAAAAGGCAATGGGGAGGAGAGCTGTGTGTTTGTGGGGCAAAACCCCAACCATGCTTTGGGTAATACTTGCATTAAACTAACCAGAATGCCACAAACAGCGTGTGAGCTTTCATGTTCTCCAGGAGTCTTCATACGATGGTACAAAAAAGGTGAATGGGGAAGAAAAAGAAACATTCAGAAATTAAACTAGATGTAGACGTGAGATCTGCAATTCTCCATCTAATATGCAATCACCATCTCAAAGCTGAGTGTAAAAGGCAGATTTCATGGCAACAATCAATGTATTCCACCAGCGCTACTTAGCAGAGAGAATGCAGTTTCTTCCTTGTGTAGTTCTCTAAAGCAGGCTGAAAGAAATAGAGAAGGAGGGTCATTCTCCCACTGCTTTGCCCCAGGATTCCAAAATCCTTGGCTTTGAAAAGGAAAAAGGATTTGGGGGGACATGACCCTAGTGTGTAAAGTAAACAAGGTACGGAGAAAGTGGATAGGGAGGGTTTTCTTGTTGTTGTTGTTGTTGTTGTTGTTGTTGTTGTTGTTGTTGCTGCTGCTGCTGCTGCTGCTGCTGCTGCTGTTGCTGTTTAGTTGTTAAGTTGTGTCCGACTCTTCGTGACTCCATGGACCAGAGCATGCTAGGCCCTCCTGTCTTCCACTGCCTCCTGGAGTTAGGTCAAATTCATTTTGGTAGCTTTGATGACACTGTCCAACCATCTCGTCCTCTGTTGTCCCCTTCTCCTCTTGCCTTTACACTTTCCTAACATCAGGGTCTTTTCCAGGGAGTCTTCTCTTCTCATGAGATGGCCAAAGTATTGGAGCCTGAGCTTCAGGATCTGTCCTTCCAGTGAGCACTCAGGGTTGATTTCCTTCAGAATGAATAGGCTTGATCTCCTTGCAGTCCAGGGGCCTCTCAAGAGCCTCCTCTAGCACCACAATTCAGAAGCATTAATTTTTGGCAGTCAGCCTTCTTTATGGTCCAGCTCTCACTTCCATACATCACTACTGGAAAAACCATAGCTTTGACTATTCAGACTTTTGTTGGCAAGGTGATGTCTCTGCTTTTTAAAGTTCTGTCGAGGTTTGTCATCGCTTTCCTCCCAAGAAACCGGAGTCTTTTAATTTTGTGGCTGCTGTCTCCATCTGCAGTGATCATGGAGCCCAAGAAAAATCTGCCACTGCCTCCATGTCTTCGCCTTCTATTTGCCAGGAGGTGATGGGATCAGTGGCCATGATCTTGGTTTTTTTAATGTTGAGTTTCAGACCATTTTTTGCACTCTCCTCTTTCACCCTCATTACAAGGTTCTTTCATACCTCCTCACTTTCTGCCATCAGAGTGGTATCATCTGCATATCTGAGGTTGTTGATATTTCTTCCAGCAATCTTAATTCCAGCATGGGATTCCTCCAATCCAGCCTTTCGCATGATGTATTCTGCATAGCAGGACAATATACTGCCTTGTTCTTATTACAGATTCTAGAACCTAGGGTCGTCCAATGATGCTGAACAATAGAAAATTCAGGAGAGATAAAATGAAGTTCATTTATGAAAACTATGAAATTCACTGCCACAATATACAGTGCTGGTCAAAAGTGTTATTAATTTTTAAAAGGGAGGTAAATAGATTAATGGAGATGAAGCTATCAAAAGTTACTAGTCATGCTATTAGCTCCCACATTAACATGTTCAGTATCATTTGCTGGGTCACATGAGCAGGAGGGTGACATTGCCCTCCTGTTCTGCTTGTGGACTTCCTGTAGTTGGCCACTGTAGAACAGAATGTGGAACTAGACTGGCCTTTAGTCTCTTATCCAGCATGACTCTTCTTATGTTTTTATGACAGATAATACCAGGTTGTGTCCACAGATCAGATGGGCTCCACACATGAATCTTTTATGGAGGGACAACCCTTTGTGCTCTGGCTGCATTTGTGTTTAGTCTTGTGTAATAAAACCAACAAGCAATAGCAACCTGAGCTGTAAGGTTTAATTTCCTGTGGAACTAATAGATATCTTGGTCTAGCAGAGACAGTAAATTGCTCTGTGCATCACAGCCACAGAGAAACAGGACAAAAGTCTGCAAAGAGCTGAATTTCAGGTTAACTGGCAGCGTAGCAATGGGGTGCCATGGCTGCAGCCTTGCCCATCCGCTGGGAGAAAATACCACATGGGAGAAAACATTGCACCACATACATTTGAGAGCTATTCATCTTCTCTCAGTGTAACCTACCTCGCAGGATTGTTCTGTGGATAAAATGAGGGGAAGAGCTACGCATACTGTCCTGAGGTTCTTAGACGAAAGGCAGAACAAAATCTTGAGTACAAAATGTCCTTATTATGTTGAGGAAAAACATCTATCTTTCGCTGAGAGGTCACGTTTTGCAATATGCAGTAAATACTTTATAATATCCAGTATAAATGTGCAATGTGCTATAATACTTACAGTGCACAAACAGCTCAAAACTTGTTCTGCTAAACAATGGTTTGCTCACAGGCCATTAATGACCAGTCATAGGTAATATGGGAGTCTTGATCCACTCCCTTCTAGCAGAAAGCCATGCAACTTGTCTGTCTCTTCTATTTTGGTAGTACTTAAGAGATTAATTAGGATTCCTCAGATACAGTATTGAGGAACATGAATCAAAGCAGAGGAAGGTGGCATACTACAGGTCGGAGAATACCAAATGGGCATTGTATATATATTAGTCTAAAAGATATTAAAGGAAACAATATACTGTGTGTAACATTAGGTTATTCTTTTTGACAGGTTTGCCCCTGGTCACTATTAACTATCCTACACATGTTAATTATGTGTGCTAAGATGGAACACATTTTCCAAGTGAAAAATCTTTTGCATTTATGTATAGTCCTTGAATAAATCAGGGATGGGCAACGCCTTTATTGGACCAGTAAAATATAATTAGAAGGCATATTTTTTGATTCTCCAAAGTTTTCCATGATTTTGCAGTGACAACTTTTTAAAAGAAAAGAGAACATTTGGGACCCCAAGAGCCCAGCAATCTGCAGAAAGAGGAAGCCCCCTGTTAAAGCAATCTTGACAGACATCCATCCAACCTCTACTTAAAAACCTCCCATGAAGAAGAATCCACAGTTTCCTGAGGCCATCTGTTCTATTGCTGAACAACTCTTAGCATCAGAACCTTCTTTTTAAGGTTTACTTGAAATCATTTCTCTTAATGTAATGAAAACAGCACAGTTTATGTAAAAGAAAGGATCCTGAAATTTGAGAGAATCCCCACGATTTTTTTAAATCTATAAATTGAGGGTTGAGGCAAAATATCTATACTCAGTGGGCATAGAATGCTGGCTATTCCTAGGCAGGGTAGCAGGAAAAAAAGAGGTGTGTGATTAATGAATAAATGGAGTATATTGAAGGGGGAAAGTCTGTTTATCTGGGATGCCCGACAATTATATTCCATGTTCCAGTATTTTCTGGCAGGTCCCAGTTATATACACCCACTCCACAATTTTATTTCATGATGTTCTCTAATTTTATTTACACTACCCTACACTGTCTTGTAGAAGTTCCTCTTTTGGAGGTGCAGTAGGACCCCCGAACCTGCTGGAGATTGGTTCCAAGCCCCCCAAAGATACTGAATACCATGGATAATAGCAAGTGAACGATCGATCGATCGAATAGCAAGTGAACGATCGATCGATCGATCGATCGATCGATCGATCGATCGATCGATCGATCGATAGATAGATAGATAGATAGATAGATAGATAGATCTATCGCATGGTAAAAGGAAAAGACAAAAAATTCACAGGCATTACCAGAACTGGCCACTAGAGGGTGCCTGCAACCATGCAGTGTATTCTTAAATACATAAGTACTGTATTCATAGCATAGTCCCGTGATGGCTAACCTTTTTGAGCCCGAGTGTTTCATAGCATAGTCCAGTGATGGCTAACCTTTTTGAGCCTGAGTGTCCAAACTGGGGAAGAAAGGGGAACCAGCAAGCCGCAGAGACTGCAGAAGTGGGGGCAGAAGGGGGAATTCCGGGCATGGAGGTTCCTCCAGATCCCACTCCGGATCCACCTCCAGTCGGGCCCAACCCCCACCAGTGCCAGCTGCTCCGGATCCTGGCCTGCTGCCTATTGGGGTGCTAGCACCATGGCTGCAGCCGCCTCCTTAGGTTTGGCTGCTAGGGATAGCAATCCAGCGACTTATGGCTCACATGCCAGCATAGAGGGCTGTCTGTGTCAGCTGTGGCATGCAGGTTTGTCATCCTTGGCATAGTCTCTGGCTCCCTCTAGTGGCTAGTGCTGGTACTACATTATTATTATTCAAATTGCTAACCGTTGGTGGCAAAGGGGCTGCTTCTTTGTAGCTCTTTCGCCCCAGCAGTTAGAGAATATGCGATCAGAGGAGGCTTCGGACTGCCTGGTAAGGTGCTGCTTTCTGCTTTCTGCTTGCTTTCTGCTTTTTAAAAACTGTTCTAGGTGGGTTTTGCTGCGTGGTTTTGGGCTGGATGGTGGAATTATGATTCTATGCTGTGATGGGTCTTGCAGGGTTTGTTTTTTAGTGTCCCCCCTCATTTCCAATGGGTCTTGTGGGGTTTGTTTGTTTTGGGGGGGTTCCCCCATTTCCGATGAGTCTTGCACTCTCTGTTTGCTTTTGGGGTTTTTTTGTTTGCATTTCTGATAGGTCTTGCAGGGTTTGTTTGCTTTTTGGTTTTCTTTTTTTGCATTTCCATTGGATCTTGCAGTGTTTCTTTGCTTTTCGGATTTGTTTGTTTTTCCTTCAGCCGGAATGGATCAATCACGTTTCCAATGGGTCTTGCAGTGTTTGTTTGCTTTTCTGGGTTTTTTCCCCTTCGGCCAGGATGGATTAATCGTGTTTCTGATGGGTCTTGCTGTGTGTGTGTGTGTGGGGGGGGGGGGTAATTTTTTTTCTTCAGCTGGAACGGATTAATTGCCTTTCAATGCCTTCCTA